ACACTCCTATATGATTTGCAACTCAAACTTTTCATTGATGATACAAATTTTCACAGTCTTTTATCTAAACTTATTTATTACTATCTAACTTATTTTCACTAAGATTAACTTTAGTAGTTATGCTTCATCTCCTTATGTGACAACATGTCATTATAATTTCTAAATTTTCTAGAAGTTTCTTTGTACCTAGATTGAGGTGACGACATATCATTTGAAATTTTTAGATTCATAACTTGTCACTAAATTAAACTTGAAATTTAATGTAACCAATGAAAAATATACTAATTAGTCAAACTAATCAAAATTTTCAATTTTTTTTCTTATTAGAATCTAGACATTGATATGAGAAAAAATAGAAATGCTCATAATTTCTAAAAGTAAACTAATTATTATGCTAAATATATATTTGATAGCTAAACTTAATCAAAATTAGCTACACTGAATTGTCAACTTTTTATTGAAACCTACAAGAAATTCACACACACAACTCTAGATTTTACAAAATAGCATCATCGGAAGTATCATGTGATGATGTATTCTAACTAACATTTGAATTGTGCATACATTATTATATATTAAATTAAACTTTTAGTGTTTTTCAAAAGATATTTTGAATTTTAATACATCTTATGTATTATGAAAAAATCATTTCAAATAAAATCTTTAAACTTGATCAAATATATCGTAAAATTTTAATAAAAATCTGAATCTGAATTATTAAGTTAGATACATCAATAAATTAATCATTGAATACACATCTTTAAAATTCTAAGTTAAAGGTTCACATAGCGTCATAACTTTATTATTTTGTCTTAATATTCTAAAATAAATTTTTATTTTGAATAATTTCTCATTCTATTTTTTTTTCTAATTTTAAAATTTTAAAACTCAATTATGATCATGTTATAATTTCAGATGAAAAATAATCATTTTGAAAGTATTTTGTTTGAGAAATCAAATTGCATATTTCAAAATTGTTATCTTGTTAAATTTTCAAAACGTTTGATTTTTTAATAAATTAACCTGTAGATCCCGAAACTTTTATAAAGTTAATTTTTAAAATCATTTTAATTTTCTTAAAACATGAAAAAAATGTTAAGAATAATAAAAATGTATTTGTTGCCCTGCTTTTTTATTCAAACTCTTAATATCTGGTATTCAATAAAAAACATATACAGTTTGATTATAGACATTTGAAAAAATAATATGATTTAAAAAGAAAACAGAATTTCAGAATGTGACCATTTTTATTTTTCATGATTTTTAAAATTCAAATAATAGCATTGCTTGGTGGCGTTAGGTTAAAATTACTCAATATATTTACTATGTTAAAAAGTATAGAACGTCATTTAATTAATTCTGTAAACAAAATTTTTTCAAAACTTGCATATTCTTTTGTATTTAGATATTATGAAAGTTTTCTATTAAACGCTATTCATATTTGGTAATAAGCCTGTCATTACATAATCTACTTATATACATTTCATTATATATTCACTATATTGTAAATTTTTGCTTATAAAAGAAAATCCAATGACTTTACAATATAAATATCTAGTGATAGTTGATTAAAGATTGTAATATGTTGGTTAATTAGATGTTGAATAATATGTTACGAACATATAATTGTTTTTTAATGTTCATTTATATCATTAATTGAAATTACATATTTAAATATTTAGAAAATAACTTTTTTCATTTAGTGAAACGGAAAAGTACCATAATTTATATATCAAAAGTTTCATATTTCATATATTTAATTGAAAAATATGATTTTATACATATTGATTTATATTACAAATTGAAATATAAATAGATAATGATGGCATTAATAAATTGAATGATAATTTTGGGATATATAATCAAGATGAAAATTAATATAGCAAAATGATGAATTTTCTTGTATGAAATTAATTTTATCAATAAATATATATATATATATATATAAAACTTCATGCTAATAAGAAATTATTTTCAACTAACTTTAACTTATCCGTTCCACCAAATGAATAATTATTTTTTCTAAACATGTACATATGTAGTTTCATAACTTCAATATGGTCATCATAGTCTTCAACTTGATCGGTGTTACCTGCTGCATGAACAAATGAAAATATTATCATCTTGCGAATGGTAACCATAGGTCTGAAAATGATGTATTTTAAAATGGTGTGTCCCTAGTATTGGTCCTAAAGGAAGAAATCGGCTTTTAGAGATGGATATAGTTTTGAGAGTGAGATTATGTAATACTAATAAGAGAACGAGGTACTACAATGCTAGATTTATGAGGTCAAAGCTGGGTTATGTGTATAGGAAATCATAAGATCTAAGGAAATCTTTTCTACGAGTATTAGAACCACAACATAAAATAGATATCGATTAGTTGCAAACATATAGCGGATAGATGATAGACTGAAAAAGATAAACATGGATAAACCAACTTGTGGTTAATAGCACTGAGAAGATGACAGAATACCTTGAGCATTGATAGTCTATATTGGATAGGAGTGCATTGTACTCCAATTTTCACTCCATAGCCAGCCATTGATAAAATAACTACTGAAAGCTAATTAGAACAAGAGAGTTAGTAACGTACTCATTTTGAGTAGTTCTGAATTTATCTGCGTCCAACGCTTGTTCTCTCGAAGTATGGTGTCAGCACGGATATCAATTCTTAACTGAGATGCAGCTTCCGCTGGTCTATGCCACCAATCGCTAAAATGAGAAAAGAAGGGTATAATGATGGCGTTCACTGCATCAGCTGGACTGACCAACTTCAGATCTACTCATTTTTGGTTCCTTCTTCTCTCTCTATCACTCCCTCCCATTCCCTGCAGTTATAGTTCTGGAAAGTGTCCAGACGTGTATGGTGTCATATTGAAAATATCCAACCGTTAGTGCTGACGGTTGAGGAGAATGTAACGATAAGTGAGCTGGAACGAAAACTCGAGCTTCAGTTACAACCGTAACTATGAATCCAATTTGACGTCCTTACATTACCTAGACTCGTGCTGCATATATCTGAAAAATACACTGCTACCGATGACATATAATAGCAATCATGACAACACTAACTTACCAACCTCTAACTTTCAGGTTATTATCACTGTTTGCATGACTAGACTTGAGGTCCCATGATATTCTTCAGCAGAAGTTTACCTCAGATGACAGGATTAGAGGAAAACAAAAGGATTCCGTTGACGTAGATTCCTCCTTAGGTCAAAGTAACGTTGAACGACTGCTATCCACTGTGACTTGGAAGTAGCCCTAGATAAACTGTTCAGAGCCAATTCCTATTAGCTGCTGGTCACCGAAGGTTTCACGAGAGGTAAAACAGTCATGAAGCTAGTTTGGGACCAGCTATCCCGGATCACTTAAAGGCCAGGTGCTTCCAAAAAGTACATCTGCTTTCATACAGTCGAAGACAGTTTCCAGATATAATCACAATGGGGCACTGCAGGTGAAGCTGAATCTGGTGTCATTTTGATATATTTTACAATGCAAGGTGCTATATGTACGCGATTGACCTCCCATCTCTATCGGCACCCATCCCCATCCTGCCAGCGCCAAGTCCACAAGCCTGCCATGAGCGTTGCAACTTATGGGTAATTAAAGAAAAAGAACGAATAAGTTTCGCATCGCATGCAATTCCAGCACAACACCAGATCTGACCTGCTTCTTCAAAATATCTGACTGTTTTCTTGCAGGAAGAAAAGCATTAGCATACGAGATTATACATAGAAAAACTTGGAGAAGTGAGCATTGCTCTGAGTCACTGTAACAGACATGCACGATTTTCAATCTTCGGCAGCACTTCTACGAGATTTTAGAATATCAAAGATGAACTATAGGCGATGTTCAACGTGTAACAAGAGGCCAGGATCATGCTTCAACGTAAGCCAGACCAAGCTTGTTATTATTTTTTGAAGTACTTGAGCTCAAACCTGAAATCTTCAGAAACAAGGAAACAATCGTTGGTATCAAGTGCAGGGCAAGACTCAACATATTCAGACAATCTAGTGAGTGCATGGAGTGCGAAAGCATCGAGTCAACACTTCATGCATTGAATATCTTCTTCAGCTGCAAACATGACCTCAACTGCAATTTGTGTCAGAAAAAATTACAAAATTGTCGTTTATATCTGATTGCCATTGATGCCTTATAGATCAGGTATAATTGTAAGTAACACAGAAACTAGAGCAGCAAAAACGCAACTAGGCTAGACTTCTGATGAATGGGATAGATCATTCAAATGCTCTTACACAGTTCAAGAATTCGCGATCATGAACACTCTTCTCTCCGTAAAGCTTTATGCATTACTTCTGTACAACATATATCAAGAGCTGAGATTATGTCACTATACAGAACAGAAGGAATATATTCTCAACATACGAATTGTAAGTACATAATACTAGGAAATCAATATACAATATATGTATATTGATATTAACTACGTTGGTATTTTTTGCATCGTCAGTTCTCTTTGTACCATGCTCTTCCATGAGTTTGATGGTGATCACCACCATCACAACCGTTGATCACTTTCGTGAGAAAGGTCACTCAGGTATGCTATCAGATCCTTCTTTGTGGATTTTTGATAGACTTGTCGCATCCCAAGCCAAGGGTCAGTAACATATATGTTTAAATCCCTGCAAACAGTGGGCTGGTTTGGGCTGGTTACCAATCAGCTGCTTGCATTAGATCGACTCTCATTTCTTATATGTGGAGAAATAGCACATTGGAACTATCATAATAACATTCGTGTGAATGTTTTACGGAAGAATCTGACTCTTTCGTTTCAATCGTTGTCAATATTTGAAAAAGTATCCAATTCGCGAGGCCAAGGTGAGCATCATGTACGTCTAGCAACTAGTATGCGGTAAATGCTTGTACAACTAGTTTAAATTTCGGCTTGCAAGCTGTATATCTTGCAAGCTTAATTTGTCTGAAACTACATTCAGTCGGACCTACGCAGAATGAGATTTCAGTTATTGTCAAAATTAATTGAGCAAATTAGTAACGGGGGACTTACCATTGTGTGTCCTACTAGACTTCAATAGTCTATCAACCTGAGCACTAATAGAGAAACAAATGAGCACTGAAGAACCCTACAATTCTCCTCCAAGTTTGTATCTCCGCAGGCAATTGCAACGAAGTTTTGAATCTGTCAAACACCCCACATCTCACGAGATTAAATTACCCTGCTGCCCTTGAAAGATAAAAGAGGATCACGCAAAGTATTGGAGTGAATGTTGATGATGCAGATAAGAGTCTTTTCTTTCTAGAATCTGTTGAACTCTACTCAGATCAACTCTAAGCTCCATGCCACCGATATCGTATCAATCCTCAGCTTACAAGCTTCTACAAGCGCATTGGCATGTAAAATCTGCTAATTCAGATCAATTCGGAAGGGATCTGTAGAGCAAGAAGAGCAGTAATCATTGGTCCTACTGTTTCGACCAGACCTTTCTGGCATGGTATGTCCTCGTTAGTGAGAATCATCTAAAGCACTGTAATCGGTTAGCAGATTCATGCATCGCTTTTAAATAGTGACCTCAAGACCGAGGCTAGATCACACAGATCTAGAATGTATAGCTGCATATGTTAGTGATGACGCATTCAAGCACTCGAAGAAAACTTTGTAGCGTAACCTCATACACTTGATGCATCACAACTTACTTCTGTAGATCAGATCCGGCAGGATGCAAGTTCATGCAGCCGTATAAAATGTACCGTGTCCTCGACAACGGAGACTCGACTCGCTCTCCAGATCTAGCGAGTGAGAGCAAGCCGAGTTCGTGATGATCTTCGAAGGGCCTCTCGAGCCCATTGGAATTGGACGCAGCTTGTGCAGAACTTGCAGATAACTGCGCTTACACAATGGTGAGAAGTCCACCAGGACTTTCAACCTGGAAATCAGGGTGCGAAAGCTCCAGAGAATGTGAGTCAAGATTCCTTTTTGATATTTTGATTCCCCGCTAAGTTAGTCAACATGCCGTAAAGTTATCAAGTTCCGAAGGTGAGAACCTCTGGAACTGTTGGCTGCCGACGGACCATACACGTGAGCCCGCCCATTGCCTGCTGGTACAAGCGACATGTGAGGAACCAAATAAGTACTATGAAGGAGACGGTTCGTATCCGGCTCTCAGACTTACTTTGCTCGATCAGGTTCTAAAGGCACGGGAGCTTGCAGGGCTTCGGGATGAGTCCCTGTCGAGTACGACCAGGAGTTTCAGAGTTGGCGGCGACAATTTCCAGGCGTGGATACGACGGCCCAAGTATTGTTCTCGAAGGCCCGGGCGACTCATTGGAGCGAGCTCTAGACCTCAGAGCAGATGACCTCGGGAGGATCAGACTCGTCATGCTGCCTTCCCAAGTTACAGTTGGCTACGTTGTCAGATCAGATTCTTTAATCTTCGACCAATGAGGTCCGTGCAGATTTCTCGAAGCTTCGTCTCTTGATCTGCAATCGGCTCGTACAAAAAATTTGAGAACATCAGAACTTGCATGTAAGGAGCGTCCTCAAGCTCAGTAAGGCCTTCTCTCCTCTTAATTCAGATCCTGTACTAGGGCCACAACGATGTTAACGCTAGAGACGACATCTGCAGCCTCGAACAAGGCTCTGTTGCGGCCGCTGCGTCCACGGTAATGGGTCTCACTGAAGCTCTCTATTTTATAGCAGGGACGATGGTTGATGTGAAAGGTATTCTCCCCGATTTTTCTACGCGATTGCATGAGACAATCTGGGCATCGGGATGCTTGCCATATCCATTCTTGAAGATTAGAAAGGGTAGAAGTTCAAAAAAGATTCATGAAGTATTTGGAAAGATGTCAGTGCGTACTTTGTTTATTGGAATTATTGATCTTTTTATAAACATTGTTATTTATATTTCGTGGAAATATTTTAATCACAATTTTTTGTAATTTTGTTTATCAGATATTCAAAATTGCAATGTAAATAATGGAGTTTCAAAATATACATATGTTTCATTGTTTATACCCTAATCATATGGTTAAAATTGAGTAACAGCCAATATATATTGATTTAAAAAAATAAATATTATAAAAAATTTTAATTTAATATATATTGTGCTGTTACTTTGAATCTTCTGATATGATTAGAGTACCAACAAATGAACATTCAGACATGACGCGAGTACGGAAAGGTACAAGAGAATATCTAAAAGTCAACTACAATAAAAAAACAATCAATGCAGAGCAAAAGCTAAATTCTCATGCACTAGTCAACGTTTGTAGGTCTATTGGTGATATACATGACATAAGCCTCATCTTCTAGTGATATACATGTGACAGAATATAGGCATGCATGCACGAGTAAGCTTATTTCATGTCACTGGAATGATTTGGTTCGAATCTACTATTCCCCATGAGTGTCTTCGACCTTGGCAACCTGAGCTCAATCATTATTGCAGTGGTACTCCTAGTTGAAAACCCACATGTTCATAGCCACCTCGGATTTGTCCCTAAAGTCTCATGTTTCGTGTCCCTAAAGCCTCGAGTTCCGACGACCATGAACATTGTAATCATTCAACCATAACAGGACATGGTTTGACTTGAGGAAGTTGAGAATGAGCAGATGCGCCAGGGCAGCTGGACGGCAGGCGTGCTGTAGGTGGGGAGCCGATGACGTTAGTGTGAAAAGGGAAATGACCAACGTGAAGAATCTTATTTACGAACGTTTTCCGTTACCTAGAGATTAGTATCTTAAAGCAATGGTGATCTTCGGGAGGAATTTTTCGAGGTTAGTGTAGCAACTCGAGTAAGTTCCGTAATCGGGTTATGTATTTTCGAGGTTAGTGTAGCAACTCGAGTAAGTTCCGCAATCGGGTTATGTATTAGCTACCTACCGGTGACAGCTAGCAGCGAGTACCCTGAGTAAAATGAATATGGGAATGGGAGGTTACAGTCAGGTTCCTGAGCCAGATAGCAAGAAGCAGATCAATTAACGGAGTTGCAGCGGCGGCGAGCAAAGCACGTAATTATTTTCATTTGACTGAAGACAAGCACGTGTCACTTTTGCAGCTTTAAACAGAAAAACTGGACCTAGAAATATTTTGCGCCTAGAGTTAGGTCGGGTAACTATGTCGGGTCCATTCTCGTATGTGCAGACATCGGATATGCATTCGAATGATGCCGTGGTAATTGCGCGTGCATGCACGCTTCCACGATGCACGAAGTATTGTTTGATCACCTGACGTTGTGTGTACTTGGCGAGCTGTAAAATTGAGGGCTCGACCTTCCTAACTACACCCTTCCTTCACATACCGTGTGCAGGGCCGGGACAAAAGCTAGGCTTTCCGCAAAACTCCTGATGGGAAAGCTTCGGACCTAGTCCAACGATTAAGTCAGTCTGATTCTCATTCCCCTTCCCATACCTGTGCAGGATGGGTTTGTGCAACGTGAACAGTGGTCATATTCCAGCAGTAGAGAGAGAGAGGGGGCGGGGGTTTTGTTTGTTTAAATAAATAAACAACAAATAAAGCAATAGTTTCTATCACGAACAGGTTCCGGCCCGAACGGATCAAACCCCCGGCTTTCACCGCCTTATGGGTGATAAGATGTTCTTGTCCTCATTGACCGAGTTTGAGGCGGTTCTGCGAGACCGAGGTAATCAGGGCACGATGGTAGGAACTGCAGTGCTACGCGGAAAAAGGATCGGTGATTCTGGCTGCTTCTTAAACTTCCATGTTGGCTGGTGGAAGCCTTATATTGTCGACTGGAAAGTGAGTTATGACATTCTACAGTCGATCCATCCTAGGCCTAGTGCCTAGTGGTGGAAGAGAAATTGTCTCCAAAGCGAACAACCACTGCCCCTCCGTTCAATGGACTGCGTTCGGCACTGGTGCCCTCATGATCAGCTGACTTAACTTTTGTCAGAGAATTGTGTTGAAAGCCGTGAGTGACAGGTATGAGTTCACTGAAGTCCTAAACAAAACCACGAATACCACTAGCCCGTCGGCTTATAATAGAATTTCAGTTGAGAATGTAAATCCAAACTATGTTTTTCTTTGCCAATCAATGTATTACTGATAATATCACAGCACGAACATAGAGCAGATTGAGACTTCGCACATTGTAAAAAAGGGCTACAGTGCTGCAAATCAGCTTTACAAAGTTATGGCCGTGAAGAAAAGCTAAATTGAGACAGAATCATGGCCGCTACAGACATTTTGCGCACATGTCCCTCGATCGCCGTTGGCCACTGCCATGAACGATTGCTCTGCCGTGCGCTTGTGATCTAAAGTCGCTCTCGTGTGTTCCCCGCAGCCGAAGGCCAGTCGAATTGGTGGTGGGGCCTGAAGGTACTGTAGTCTTTGTTTTCTTGCCTGCGGTCTTGCCAACTGAAATTCGGGCGATCGTTCTGAGATTCATCCAGACGAGAGAATGCACTAAGTTTAATAGTGATGCTAGCGTTTCTGCTGCAGAGCTACACTGATGTACGTGTTGTCACTGTCCCTTTAGTAATACAAGAGATCTCCATCGAATCTGAAACTCTGAGCTACTCACTAATCACTGCAACTCCTTGATCATGACAACAATCGGTCGTCAGATGATGCGCTTGCGACCACAGGCTCTAAGAATGTTGAAAGATAACCTCTCACATCGCACTGATCCATGCTAAAGGGCACTTCACGTGATCTCCAAATTAAAAAAAATCTGAAGTAAAGTCACCGTGAGCTGTCAAAATATTGCCACTACTCCTTTGTGCAGTTAGATACATTTCTATGGAAGTTCACATAAGAAATCGATAAAGATTGCATGGACACGAACAATCCAGTGTTCGGAGGGTTTGATGGGACTGATTCCTATTTGAAGGACCTTGTTGTCGTTGGATTAGGTGTTATATGGAAAATAAGAAAAAAAATAGCTCATACCTTGTCAACGCGAGTATTCCAGAGTCCAATCACAGAACTTTTGCACCGCAGTGTTAGTTTACTTCACAATGACGTCAAATGGTCACCTGTAATGGTATAAAGTAAGATTTGAAGACAGGAACCTTCAATCATGGCTGTCAAGCATCAATGTACTTAGTGGATATATGATTGTCGTCTGTCTTTGGTTATTTAGAATTCATTGAAATAAAATAGAACTTTCTAGCCCTAGGTTTGGCATATATACAATAATTACATTGTACACTGGTACTTTACGATTCAAATTTTATGATCTACTAAATTTATATGATATTAGTATAATATGTATCAAATTATGATTGAGGAACACTGATAGGTGAGTACAAGAATTTGATTAATATTATGAAATAAAAATGATAACAATATCCACAGTATAAAATTAACGGTATTATCTCTTTCTGACAATGACTAAATATAAATAACGACATTCCTTAAATGAATCAGTTGAAAAACATGAAGAATCTACTTCTAGACCTCCATGAGAATCTATAGGGGAAATTAACGTTTAGTTGACTCCAGTGGAAGGGAAAAAACTATCAAAATCTTTAAGTCAAGGTACATCTTTTATTACCGACAGATACTGGCATCATAAAGGACATTGTTACTGATGTTTCATCATCCGAAACCGTGACCAAGTAAGTAAGAACATGAATTTCTCCTAGATCAAAGACTAGGGTAACATGTAAATTTCATTTGAACTTGAAATGTGAAATATTTTCGTGTATCAAAATATAGACCCCAGAAACCTAACAAGAGAATTCTTGGTGATGAAATACTTCCACTTATTTCTGATCTAATGGAAAATGACAACATGATGTTTATTTTTGCATCAAGTTCACTTTATCATAGTTTGTATGTAGCTGTTATATAGACACTACAGGAGTAGATCAGCAATGCAAATTACTCTATCTTTTGATAAAAAATGGAATGAAAAATATTTATACTTTAAATTTTATACTGTGAATATAATTATCACTTCATTGATACAAATCAAATTCTTGAACGAAAATATCAGATTCAACGAAAATATACGACTGCACGTGAACACGGAATAAGAAATCATTGAAATCAAACTCTAAAGCGAGCAGAGAACGAGAATGGAATCTTCGCACGTAACGCTCATTGAGACCAAGTACTTACACCCGCCGGAGCAAAAATGACCAACAAACCCTGCCCAAGAAAGAGAACAAAGGAACAATGCTTTCTGATTCCAAGCTTCTTCTGCTATGAAAGTTGAGACTTATATAACCTCGAGTCATCTAACTTATACATCTAAGGTCCTTTGAGAATCTTGTCTACCGGACACTGGATATGAGTCGGGTGTGAGCGGATCAATCACGTGAAGACACCTGTCATAACCACTAAGGTGTGGACCTCCTCACACTGAGTTTGTGGAAGTTATTTGTCGGCTGAAAAGACAACAGTCCTCTGATACATGATTCTTTAGCAGGTTCGAAATCTTCAGTGTACCTGTCAATATTTATAAACAAATTAGTTTTCAACGAACCTGAAGGGCCCATCTTAGCGTTGATCGGGACCACTTTGCTTGAATACTATGCTTCATGGTGAATCTACTCGCAGTCGCGGGGTGAGTTGAAGAGACGTGTCGTGAACCAAGTGAACCAGACTGCAAGCTTAGATCGATAGATTGAATATCCTTTGCACTTTATTGTGATTCAGATACGAATTTGGTGAGGTTATTCGAGAATCTGACGTATCCTTTTGAGCGTCCGTTACACTCGCACCATGCAGGCATAGGTTAGAAACGAGTGTCAATTGCAAAAGGTTTGAAACTGCTCTGATGTGTAGCCTGCGTAACTCGGGACAGAAGTTGTTAGTGCAGGTGAAACTAATGCTTGTCTGAGCTTGTCTGAGCATATGGATAATATCTGCAAAGCACAACGTGATCCTGACTCTGACGCCAATGTAGCAAACACGAGCGCCGAGCCGTTTTGTCTGAAGAAGATTCAAGTGGGGCTTTCCATGAGCGGACCTGGAATTTAGCCTCTGAAATTATTCGTCTTGAGTGAGATCAAGAATGTGAGGACGTCATGAGTATAACTTTCAATGCTTTTCATGCGCGTAGGTAGCATGTGACAGTTAGCACCGATGTCGAATGTTTAGATCGAACGCTGGCTAGACGAAATTTTGAAATCAACCATTTTATATTCTTCAAGCTGCAAGAAAAATATCCCCCCATGATCTCTGACGGTACAAAATGAGCGATTCGACTGCCCATTGTCGCATGCCCACCACTCTTCACGACAACCACTGAACCACCTTTCATTCTGTTCCTCGAGGTCGAAGGATGCTGGATCTTGACCGCGACAACACTCCGCTTCTTATGTGCATGCATGGGCGCTTTTGCTGATGCACGGATGCAATCACGTTCTTAATTTTTTTAATCATACATTTTCACCTATAATTTAATACTAATTGGAATTTTCCCTCAAATCGAATAACGTCGTCTGACAAATGCATACACTGTAGCAGTGCTATGATATCTCACTGCTTAGCCGTCGATATTTCATTGTTCTTGTCAATATTTTGACTAACAAGATCTAACCGATCTCAATCTTCCACACTACCTCGTAATCCGATGACATTTCTGATCAAAGGTGTCTTTGAACGCTGGTATTCTGTTTGAAGATTGTATCAGACATGTTTTTGTGACCTTATAATTACTTAGATCTAATTTGAAGTAAAATTTCCAGATACTGTACTCTACACTCTGAGATACCCCCGATAGCTCGTCTACGCACTACGTCACGGAATCCAACAAAGGATAAGACTGATAATGCCCAGTCATGAAATCGAGGTTTTTATCAAGATTTGTATGGATGTTATAAGTCTCTACCCCTGTATACTCGACGCTGTGCATCCCCGTCCGTGTTGTCAGAGAATGACAGATTGCCATAACCCCATCAAGGGAATCATTTGTTCGTCTTTGAGTCAAATACACGTATGTCATTTATCTGAAGATGTCAAAAATCCAACGGCGCTTGATCATAGCGTGAGGTAGCAAGCGAAACGAGAGTCTCAAACTCCCGATAGATCCTTATCATGCGCTTACGGGTTTCTTGTTACTCTCTGATCCAGATGACTTCTCTTACACTTACGAGTTTCGTGTTTGCTTTCTCATCTAGAGGGTAACTGTTCCGAAAATTAAAACTACAGTCAGTTGGTCTACAACTCCGAAACTTCCAAAAACAGGATCATGCGAGATTTCACGAGAGTGAGATTAAGCAGTGCAGAATGATGGAGTCGTCTGAATTCCCAGTAAGCACCATCACAAAAGCAGACCTCCAACGGGCTCCTGCATAAGAGTTCCGACAACCGGTTGTATGAATAATAACCACGTGGGTGCCTGTACAGCTGAATACAAGTAAGTCCTTGTCATCAAAGGGGGAAGCCATATCCTCAGTCCAATCTACTGTGAAGCAAGACAATGTCAACAACCACAAAGACATTCACTTACTTTACATCTGTACCTGCCATGGCGCTTGGTGTTGTAGAAAGATTGGCATTACATTTGTCGGGTATCTTAATCCTACCTCTTATTGGATTGAATCATTATCGTAGCAGCGAGTTATATCATTTAGGCTTTCAAGATTTCGGATTTTTCCGTAATTACAAACTATATTTAGCTGATCACAGGAGATTAAAATCGTCATCTCCACAGATGGCACTCTGATAGGTGAACCTTGAGTAATGCTACCTCGACTTGGCTCGGCTAGCAACCACATTATTTGGGTCTCTCTTTATTCTTCTTGACAAATGTATATGTAAAGTGAAAGAAATTTGATTTCCCTGAATTGATTGTATCAAGGTATCCTTGACTTTGAGCCCAAAGCTGCACCAGGTCCCTTGCTCCTGTCTTAGTGGTCAATGAAGTGATAAATTAAGTGTTACTTCATGCATCGAATGAAGACAAGGAGCTGCGTGTATCTTGATTTGGTCTCAGGCAGCGAGAACCAACAATTTACCTTCTATTGTAATCTCATTCATTTGGGAAATTATGAGCATTCGATCCAAACACGGAACATGATTGGTGCCCATCAAAGATGCTGCAAACTTTCAAATTTGTCACGATTCTCCCGTCTCAGCAACCTCGTTTTTAAGGCCTACCTTCTCCGGCTGTCTTCTCTCTATGCTTGCAGTCTTTCTTCTCCATGGACTATACTCAGGTCTAATGATTACAATAAGTTGATGACAACTATATGGGACAAAATGGAACACTGGACATGCAAGGCAACTTGACACTGTCTTCTTTTCAACAAGAGATAATCTAGTTTTTGGGCTGGACCAGGTGAAAAGGTTCCCTATCTGACGGGTCGCTTCTCTCGGTTGGTTTTCCTCTTTGTCCTCCAGCTGCGGCGCACGTACCTATGGGTCAAATTCATACCACCAATTCAAACAAGAAGTACCAGGTAAGATAAACTGATTTCGATACAATTGAGGTGTCTCTGAGCAACGACTGGTGGTGACCAAGTGTGCAGTTGTGCTGCGTAGGCTTCGGAGGAGTCTCCTGGCGTCTCCTTCTTTATGTTTAAGTTGTGAAGCGTTGAAAGAATGACTATGCTCTTGCACTCGCAATAATGATTACAAGATCTTCTTCAGGCCAATCGTCTAAATATAAACCGGGAATCAACGTTTTGGTGTTTGGTTTAGGTTATAGTGACTACTTGTACTTGAAATGATCTTCGCAAAACGGAGGTTTAAGGAAAGTGATTCCGTATCTAAACTTGGTCTTGTGGTATAACTACGGGATTTTGCAATCATGTCACACACCTTTGAACATTGAAAATCAAATAAATATAAATATCAATATATCAAAACCATCACAAATCATACTTCAGACTTGTTGAAAGAAAAAAATAGAGTGCATTAATAGAAGTGATCTGAATCGAATCTCAGTTGTTGCTTAAGAGATTGGCAATCTCAAGATGGACTTGGAATAAAAACGTCACTTGAACTTGTACAGAACTACAAGTCAGCATCTAAACCAAACCATGAAATGGGTTTTTCCTCTTCTCTTTTACACCTTAGAAAGTCTGACTTCCAAGCCACAAGGATTTCCTCCTTGCTTGGCAACACTCAGGCAACAGGTAAAGCCCTTGACATAACTAAAACTCAAAGTCAGAAAAATAATTTGAACTGTGTGGCCTTGCAAAAAAAATACTTCTGAAGTAGCTCTGGACTCGAGAGAGTCCAGAGCTACTTCAGAAGTATCATTTGAGTCTCATTTGAAACTACAAAACATTCTCTCAGTAAGAGAATATCCAGAAAGTTCCTTGACAACGATGCGAAATGTCTGTACTTTAAAATGGCTTCGTATAAAGTATCACAGAATTTTGAAAAGAGCAAAACTTCCCTGCAGATCTTTGCACTTTTCCAGTCGCGAACATTTCTGTTATAGTAAGTAAAGAGTGTGTAAGTTCTTGTATGTTAAATTCATCGATTTTTTTCTTTTAACATTTGACTGCATTCCTTCAGCAACCAATTTTCCCGGTATTGAGGTTTTCCAACTGTAAAAGCGTTTACATGCAATATACGATTCAACCCTCCGAGACTTTTAAATAAGATTCTCCTCAGATCAATATGCTCTATCACAGCTGCAGTGATAGATGTTGCACTCATCCGTAAAACGCAACATACCTGGCAGTGAAACGATCACCTTAAGACGGAATACACTTCTGAGCAGCACTTACGACCTGCAACTGGTCGCCTGATTTTAGACAAATATTCAGGATTCAATCCCCAGCCAAAACAGTATGTATTAATGACCGTTCAATCTCCTCTGTAATAACAAATGCACGCACGTTTCCTGTCATTTGTCGACTGCAGTAAGGTTCTCGCCCACGAGGTTGTGCTAGAAAACCTCGTGGGCAAGGCTGTCACCCTTCAGCGGTTAAAGTGATGAATGTGGTCATTGTACTTAAGCACACACTCACAGTCAGTTAGGATACATTCCTAATGTCCCAGTCAGGCAAAGCAAATAAAATATTCTCCCCTTGTCTTATCTCTTCATTCTGTTTGAAACGATCACGAATCTTGTGTTAGAGTAGATCAAACTAGAACCTCTTGGTCTCATCTGCTGACGAGTCACGGAAGTCTTTGGTGCTTTTGCGTTTTCTACCATATAAAGTATTCAGCTGATATTGGCTGAAGAATCTTTCTGACTTCCACTTTCTGACTTGATTATCTTCTATGGAATGACATATACCAAGCGAATCACTTTGGTGTTTGAGGTATAGATTGCTTGTTTTTCTTCTTAAATAACAGCCGCGAGAGCACAAGCTCGCGAGAAGAATTTATGAGGTCAACTATATCAAAATTTACATGATCATGTGGGCGAACGTGTGCCCACCGAACCACGTGAACATACACCTGCTGTTATTTGAACTCCACCAATGTGCTTCGGTAGATGTTACCTACTTGAGTATAGTTGTAAAGGATCAGAAAGTGCGAAATACAACGGGTTGTTCTAGACGAAGAGGGATCACAAAGATGAGGGCGGAGAGTCAAGCTTGACAACAGGTCCCGGCTCTTTTGGTCGATGAAATTTTATGACTCGGCTTCATTGGGATCCAAATCTCCTGAATGTGGGCCCTGTGTCAAGTGATTGAGGGTCGTAAACAATGTATGGAAGATGTGGCCCTACAGTGTTTGCGGCAGTGATAACCCAGGTCCCAACTTTGAGTAGACTTGGAGGAGATGACGATGTTTGCATCGACGAACTCTACATTATAAATGAGAGGGCAACTTTGTTTCCTAGTCGATGGAGGAGTAACGATGGAAGAGCGAGCAAACCATCCAAGACTGCTGCTACAATCCAGAATGATGTTTTTGAGATGCAAGTAGTCTGGATTCGCCTTGCCTTTAGACATTGCCAGATCAATGTGATATGAAGTGCACCGAGATTGATACAGCTTTATGATCTTGTATTCGTCTTTTATATAAGAAAACAGAGATCCTCTTCAGCACGTTTACCTCGATTGTACTGTCTTGTGAGACAGTACAATCACTGAAGTACAATCACCTCCTCTAGTTGAAGGCTGAACAATTTAGGCATTGACTGATTGATCCGAAACTCGTTTGTGAGGACCAGCATCGCCAAAGTCCCCGACACTACGAGCTGGTGGTTATGAAACTCCTTGGGCAGGTTCGGATAATGCTCACCTGCAGCACATTGAGGGGTCGAGCACCACAGTGAAATTTGGACACTCTTTTAACCAAAGAATGTTATCACCTCCGCTTGAATGTCCTACAACTACAACTACGATCAGTTGATTTAGAGTGACCTCCATATAGCTTATATCGCTTCAATGCCAGTAAGACAAATCCACACGTGAACGAATAATTGTTAATTGTAAAAAAATTAAGCAGATACTTGATTTGTATTGGATGTGGTATTAGATTTGATAGGTTCATTCATACACCAAGGAATGAAAAGACAGAGCGTGGCTTTAGGTTCAAAAAGTATACTATTTTAGAGTAAAAACAAGACGATGTAATGGCATTCTAAAAGGTAGTGCATAAATCTGGAATTTTAAGCTAGAATACTATCTGGAAATATATCTAGAATATTAAATCTGGAAAACAAGCTATAATATTAAGTAGATATCCTTGACCATCTAATATTAAAATAATATCATCTAAAATAATATCATCTAATATTATCTATAATATTAAATCTGGAAAACAAGCTATAATATTAAGTAGCCTTGTAAGATATCAAGCAACTATCCATAAATATTTTACATCAGACTGTTGCTAAGTTTTCATCATGAAAATCAAAGAACAATTTAAAGCTTGTTGAAACATTTTCAACATCTTTAGATCATTGTTGACATGAATTGTTTTACATCAGATAGTTCAGGTCACAAGATGATTGAACTGCATTTAAAAGGATGTGTATTCTTGGAGTGATATACTACATATCATGGACAGTTTCAAATTCAATTCTCACTTTCCTTGAAGTTTACACAATCAAAATTAATTTATTGTTTTTCTACATGTAAAAGGTATACATTATTAACCTTTTGTAAAATACCAGAATTAACGAGTTCAATCACCTTCAATTTATATTTTTCATAATTCAATAAGATAATTAATGACTAATTCATTTTATTCAGGTAATCTAATCAATCAGAGCATTCCTGATGAATCTCCAAAACACTTTCATCCTTTTGATGTTGGACTTTTACAAGCCTTGCAGATTCTTTGTCCTGAAGAATTATTTATATATATCTAATTCTTTAAGAAATTCAAAATATAATTGAAAATTCAGCTAGCTGATCTCACTTGCTCTATATATATATTTTTTGAAAAAACGAATTTCATTATCATATATCCCATAAAACCCAACAAGGATACTTACAAGAATGATTATTTCTAAAGAAAAATAGGTTTCCATAAAATAAGAACATATTGTATCAAAAGAAAATCAATAACTGGTTCCTTGCATTGTCTGATATTCAAAAAATTAGCTTTAGCAAATTATACATTTGTAAGTTTTATTTATCAAATACATACAATAACTATTTGCAATATGTAATTTATTTTGTTATGATTAATTTTTCACTTTGAAGATAATTATATGAAACAGTTGACAATCTTTTTTGACTATTTAATTTTTCACTTCTTTTCGATGATGCATATTGCAAACTAACAATGTATAAGAAAATGCATTATAAACTAAAATTTGTAAATAATTCACCTTTATAAAACTCGGATTTATTTACATAATTTTTTTCTCTATATTTTTTACAAGGCTTTTATAGTAAAAAACTTTCAGCAGAAAATTAAAATTTAGTTAGATTTTAACGAAATTTTGAATTAATTCCGCTCGTGATATCTCAAACAGTTGGTCAATTCTAAAATATTTTTATTTAATATGAGCCTATTTTTTAAAATCAAATCCAATTCGTAATTATTATATTCATGTTCAACAAGAGTGTTTAAGTTAAAATCTATACCAACCTTTAAACTGCTTTCAACCTTAAGCAAGCAACCTTTAAACTATTTTGGATTTTTATTTGTATTGATTTAATACTCATAGTAAAAAAGATATATTTGAATGATGAATTAAATGTTTGATAAATCTTTGGACAGCATTTATTGAAAATTTTTTAGAAAAATCAGTTTGAGCTCGGCATGAGTAACAAAAGTAATAATATTTATTTTTATGATTTTTTTAATTTTTTCCAATCATTTTTCTCAATATTTTTTATCATCTTTTTCAAATAGAATTTTTTTTTTTAAACTCACAAAGACGAAATGCAATTTACTTGTAAAATTTGCTGATAGTATACAGTTAACCTAATCTGAGGCCGGTAGCCCGGGCTGCACTTTCCTAGTGAATAGACTTCAGACTTCAGATTTCTTGCCGTCATACTTCCCCTGGTGGATTTTCATATGACAGGTCCAACACACCGGATTTTGTTAACTTTGATATAATACATTTTTCATCATAGATTTTTCAGCATTGAAATTGACAAATAACATATATTGAGCATTTAAATTAGATGATACATTTTTTTTGAAATATAATTTTACAAATACAATAATAGCAAATAGATGAAATGTAATTTTAACATGTGATGATTTTTTTAAAAAATTTAAAGTGACTTTTTATCTAATAAAATTTGTTATTTGGCTCATGTGAATTGTTAAATTTCAACTTGCAAAATTTTTGAATTAAAATGATTGATTTTTAAAAATCCTAACACCCGATTGTACGCTACTTTTCAAAAAATTAAATGAATACTTCAACGGTTGTTATCTCATATAATTTCAAAATCAATCAAGAAAATTTATGCACAATTTACGTAAAAAATAGAGAATTTGTAATTTAATTTGTAAATTAAATTTGTAATAGAGATTATTTGCAATTATTAGTAAATCATTTGACTTAAAGTTTGAATTACGAATCAAAAAAATTATGAAAAATCTGATAATAGTGAAAAATAACTTTTGAATTACACTCTTATGTCTTCTTTTCACTTTAAAACTTCAGAATATTATATTATTAAGAAAATTTATTATAAAAAAATTACTATAAAAGCACAAGTGTATTACTTCTTCACTTCATGCATAATTAAAATAGCAATGAAAAATTAATTGTTTAATCTTTAATAATTATTCATCATATTCCATGTATTCCAAAAGCCACTTCAAAATTTTCAAAACTTCAAAGAAAACTAAAATATTTTCCATAATATTGCAATTTTTTTCCCAAATTTTATCTGGAAAAAATTTTTGATGGATTATATGTAAATATAAGTAAAAAATATAATTATAGTAAAAATTCAAATCAATGCAAAATTTTTACTATATATGATTATGATATCATAAATTTGGATCTTGTTTATTAAAAAAAAGTCACAACTTTTGATCAATTGAATAAAATAATATCTTTCGATTGATTTGACAAAAAAAAATATGACAAAAAATATAAAATTTATAACATGAAAATAATTTTTATTCAAAAATAATTTTTTATCAAATTCTTGTTTAAATCAATTAAATTAAAAAAATGCAACAAATTGAATTTTCAATTTCATAGTGTTCAAACTAGATTAATGTATATTGTTCTGTATTTTAAATTGAAAAATAAAATTTAAATTAATTTTGATGGCTTATAACTTGAGATTTTAATATTCATACTGTAATTACATTAAAAAAGTTAAAAATTCTTGCTTTGAAATCATTCAGTATTGATCATAAACAAATTTGGAAAAAACTTCATGATATGTATGTCATACATATCAATATCTTCATGACATAAGATCAGATTTCTATTTTGTTCTCACACATGTTTTAAAAAGTCCAAAATATTAACTCTTAAAGCTTTATCATTACCTTAATAACTCAAATACAATCAAATAATAATATTGTCATTATCATCATCAATCTAAACTCTCAACTTTTTATCATCTTTATCTTATATAAGTTGATTAGATTGTCATTTGGAAATTTTGAACCAATATCTGTGCACGATAACTTATGCATCAATCTGAGCTTTCATAGAGTCGTACATTGCATCATGTGGCAATGAATGATTAATAGATAAGACAGGTCAGCGATCGAAGTTCATGTGGACGTAATCAAGACACGCAAAAAAAACTCACGCGATGAATTTTGATCAAACGCAAAGAGTTACAAGTGACAGAATCCAACAAATTTGAACGTCGAATTTGAACGTGGACGACAACATCTGTGCATGCAGAAGTCAACAACAAGAAAGTTTGATAGAAATTGATAGAAATTTTTTGTAGAAGATGGAGAGTTGATAGGTTCAACATGGTAGATTTTAAAGTTTGGACAACTTTGGTATCAGATTTCAAACTTTTTGTGGTTCAATGTACTACCCATGTTATTGATAAAGGAAGAATGTCATGTGTTACCTATAAGCAAGTTGTGTGTAGCCTCATGTATTTGATGATGTGCACTAAACCTAATATTGATCTAGCAATGAGCAAGATGAGCAAGTAGTTCTAAGTTGAATCCAAGGAAGATTTACTAAAAAGCAGTGAAATGTACTAGAGAGTTTGGAGTGAGATTTGGACTTGACACAACTCATTCCAAAGTTCAAATCTCATGAAGTCAACAAAATCTACCATCCTTTCCTTCATAAACTTTTGTCATAGTTTTCTTAGACTTTTCTGATTCGCACATGCATTTTAGCACTTTGCATTGATTTTGTGATAGCTAGATAACTCTCTTTGATAAAAAATTTCACAAAGAAATTTATCGAGAATCAGATCTAACACAGACAATAAGATCAAATAGTGACAAAATAAAACAAGAGTTACAATAAAAATCACAAATACACGCGCACACAAAAATTACGTTGTTCATCTTATGTCAAATCTAAATCCATGGTTAACCAGACACAATGTATAATAAACTTGCAAGGGAGATTAACATAATTAAAGAGTATTCAGAACTAATCTATAGATAATTAAGAATCGAATGCTTATTTTGTTCACCGTGTGTTCCACGAGTTTAACATAGCAGATTTCAAAGGCGTTTGAACTTCTTTGACAACACAACTTTATACTTTACGTAGCTCAATGTCATTGAAAAGTAAAAGATATCATCAATTTTTCATAATAAAGTTGTTGTCAACCTCATGTTGTTGATCTTGTGAACAAGACATGATATTGTTTTAGCTAGACAAGGTGAATAGGCACATGTTGAGTCTAGCAAAGGTGTAGTGGGAAGTAGTAAAATAATTTCTTAGTTACATGAAAAGTACTAAGTTTTATGATTTATTAGTTGATGATTTATCAGACAATGTCAAAATCTTAATAGATTATGTTAATGTTGATTATGGAGAAGATTTAAGCAAAAAAAAAAAAACTATAGCTAAATATATGTTAACACTTGCTGATGGATGCATTAATTCAAGATCTAGTTTACAAAAGTGCGTAGCTCAGTCTACAAAAAAAACTAAGTATGTAGCTGTAACAAAATTAGCTCAAGAAACTATTTGGTTGGATATATTTTTCATTAAGATGGGATTGAAGTAGCAGATAGACAATTTTCAATGTGATAACTTAAGTGTATTACATCTTGTTGCAAATCAATTGATGGATAGTTACTAAGTGAAACACATTGACATCAAATATTAGTTTTTTAAACATATAGTTTTTTAATCAAATGATTGAGCTACTCAAGATGGACAGTATATTCAATCTAGCTAGGTCTTTGAATAAAGTTATTTCTTTTGATTTTTTTAGAAGACATGTGCTATTATGCAAATTTCACATGAAGATTACAAGAGTAGATTAGCAATTTTAGTTAACTCTATATATTTTTTATTTTATTTTGTTTTTTCTACAATTAACTTAATTTTAGTTCTAATGTGGTATCCAGTTTTTTTATTTTTGCATAAAGAAGTAAATTTAAAACATTTTGGCGGTAGAACATATACATATAAGTTCATATTCGTAGAAGTTAGGAGATCTAATGGGAATTAGGTAACCAATAGTAGGAAGATGGAATTCGTTTTCAGCCGAGTACCTTCAAATCTTCAAATCTTAGGCGCAGATATCTTTGACGATGTAATAGCTAGGCCTTCAGCAAAGACGACTTGTCACAATTCAAATTTGCCAAAGGCCGGACAAGAACTTCATGCATTGCAAGTGCCAATTCGCGCGCGTGTGAATATTGTTAGAGAGTCGAGGGTAAGGGCATGAAGCGGGCACTTCGCGCCAACATTGTGCGGAAGAGAGATTTGCAATCGGGTTCATCGAGAAATACACGGTCGGAGACATGACGCGACCTAAGAAAGCTATTGTGCCGAAGTTGGTTCCGCTCAAGGTGCCAATGTCAAATTGCGAAAGTATCGACGAGATGTAATCAAGACGCGTTTGGATTTTCTGCCGTGGGACTGAAACTGCGTGTCGGGTACAATCTACAAGGAGATGATCGACAAGAATCGGCTCAAAGGCACCGATCTTCGAGGCAATCTGATGCTTTGGATGCTCGAACATTAGACAAGAGTTTTAAGACCATGCGCGGGGAAAGACGGCGATTACACGTTCAAGAAGGAGAGTGTGAAGGTGACGCGAACCGAAGAATTCACATTCGTGCCATTCTTCAAGAATCCGCGATTGAGCACGAATGGATGGCGGAGAGTGGAGTATTGCGACCTCAAGAAGCATGCGGTGGCGACAGCGGTGATGCATATCTTACAGCCGCAACGCACGACATATGTCACAACATGGCAAGTAGGGTTCATTGAACGCGCATTGCGAGGAGAAGCAGTTCAATGGGCGAACATCTTCTACGACCTAGTCTTGATTAATGTTAGTACCAGATGGAAGGGAGTTTCGATCAATCACATTACACCCTTCTTGGTGAACTTCTATCGCGGAATGGGATTACTAACGAAGAATGATGAGAAGCAATTTTCCAAGGAGCAAGAGGTTTTGATGTTGGATTCGGATGAATGCATTGAGGAGGAAGACAACATTCAAGCTGAAGAGATTCCCCGAAGAACATCACGAGGACCGGATTGAGTAGATGTAGTTATAGTGGAAGACGAATCTAATCGGCGACCGGCGAAGAGGCAGAAGGTAGCCGAAGCTAGCGGCAAAGGCCGAAGACCGGAAGCGCGTATGGCCGACACGGATGTAACGCGGTTGAGAACACCACAGCGACGTGCAAGATCGAAGAAAAAAGCCAACCGCAAGGTGGTAGTATTTGAGTCTTCGGAGGGTAGTGTAGCCATGAGTGAGAGAATTGCATCTACAACTGACGAAGATACAAGGGAAGAGATGAATCTTCGGACTGAAAGAATAGGATCTTCGGAAGGATAGAATGAGGATCTGATGGAGCAAGAATTGGAACCTTCGGAGGAGAGGACGGCGACGACAAGTCAAGATCTTCCGCCTTCGGAGAGGAAGCAGCCTTTGGAGAAGGAAGATGTGTCACAGCCAAAGACGAGCAAAAAGCAGGCAAAAAAGCTTACTCCAAGCGAAGAGATACTGGACAGGCAAAAAAGCTTACTCCAAGCGAAGAGATACTAGACAGATAGTAGCGCAGGTTGACAGAACGATGGTGGAATCCCCTAAGATTTCCACGCCACAAGCAACAGGGGAAGTGATAAGATTCGAAGCTGAGATGAAATCTTCGGAGGAAGAGCCGAAGAAGTTAGTAGTTGCATTCCCGGACTTTCTTTAGCATAGCGTTGTTCCCTTGCGAAAGTATTTGGATAGAAAGCGAAACAAGTACGCAATCTTGAAGGAGGTAGGATTCTATGTACAATTGGTCAAGAATAGGACTCGCATTAAGCGAGCGGTGGAAGTGAAGAGAGTGTGAACGGAAGCAACTGCAAAGGCAGCAGAAAGAGATCATTTTCCACTATAGACTTAAAAAACACTCCCTATTACAACTTTAGAGTTATTTTCAAAGATCTTATGTCACTTTTAGCTTCTTGTTATTGTCTGAACATACTTGCTAGAAAAAACTAATTGCTTTTGATGCCAACAAAACCGATTGTGTACAATATTGACTTGATCTCATTGCGATGTGGACAACAATTGAAATTATGTCGCATCGGGGATGAATTTAACGATCCTCAAAGATAATCAAAACATATGTTGCATTTGATATTATTAAACTTCACATTGTTATTCTTCATATACATCAAATCATCTCATTCCAAATTGTTATTTCTAATTTCTAAAAAAGTTTAAACTACTTCATATGAAGCTTCACGTTTTTTTTGCAAACTATATTTACAATTTTTTTAAATAAAATGCAATCAAAATTCCAAATTTTTTTATTTTTCAATTATAATTAAAATGTAAAAAAGTTCTTGTTATATGCTCAAAACTATTTTTGAATTTAATTCTAATATTAAAAATTATAAATTTTCATCAATTAGTTGCAAAAAAACAAAAAATAATCATAATTTTGCCTTGATTGCATAAATAAAAAATCGTAGCCACATTTTAATTTTTTTCTAATTATTTGATTTTGGCTATAAAACAACTCTCTCATTTGATAAATTTGCATCCAAAGATTTAAAATGTAGGAAATTATGAAAGAAAATCTAATGAAATCTATGACCAAGAAAAGTCATATATGTACATTTATAAAAACAAGAAAAAAAGGTTTTATATGTTTTGAATGGAATGAGAAGACTTTTTTACCAAAAATCACAAGTTTGGGATTAAAGTATTTTGCATTGTATTGATAAGAAGATATCTTGATCAACTTTTTAACAACAAATTGTGTCAATAGATGTTTGTAACACAACATTTTCTCATATTGTTATTTGAAATCAGTTATTTGAAATCTTTGCCCCATCATCTGAATTCCTTAAATGTGAAATAGTACATATTGTTATCTGAGTGTCTGATTGTTAAATTGCTCATGCCTTGATTTGACAAATGAAAAATCTTCTTAAAATTGTTTGAATTTGATTGTTAATGTTTCAACTCAATCTCTTGTATCATATGTTGATCTTGATCAATACATGTATAAATGATAAATAATGCTAAAAGATATTCTAAATGAAACATGTGATTCACATTAACAATTCTAATTTCACAAAACACAAAGATTATATTTAATAGCTTAATGTTTGTTGGAAGTTCTCTTATGTAATGTTATCAGAACTGTCTAGCTTATTACAATTTAACTAATTTAAGTTTATCAACATTTGAATGGACTTTTAATCATGAACTAAGTAACACAAATGTCTTTGATAATCAAAACCTTTTGTAGATGAATCATACTTACTCGCCATGATTTATCAATAATCAATATTTTCAATAAAGAAATTAATTTAAATAATTTACTTTGACAAAAAGAGTTTAAAATGTTAATAAAACTGAACATCTTTGAATAAAAATGTCAGAAATCATCAAAAAAACTGCATTAAATAATCCATTCAGTTCATTTATATGTTTAAGAGCTTCGATGATGTTTCAATTTACTTTGACAAATCAAGTTATTTTGATTCCAGAAATTAAAAAAATTGATCATATCAAAAAAATTATAACAAATTTTTTTTAATATATAAAAAACCTATTGAATTTTTTTTTCATTTGTTTCAAATCAAACGATATTTAAAAAATTGTTATAATGTTACAAATGTTACATAAATTTAGTCTAACTTAATCAGATGCCAGAATATTCACATCAAATCAATGTAATATTTTGAAGTTGAATCCATTACATTTCATCTAAAATGTTATACATTCAATCTTTGCAGTGAATGAATTAAGATTTGACAAAATTCTGTTTTCAAGATACGAACTCTATTTCCATATGATTAAATTTAAGTTTAAATTATATCAACGTTTTGAAATTTACTTCTTTCTAGGAAATTACTACCCAGTCTCTATAATGTTTGAAAACTGATGTTGACTGCTGGATTAGACTGCTACTTAGAATTTCCATATAGTAACTTTAACTAGTATCGAAAGTAATAATAATAATCAAACTACTTACGTATACAACTAGAACCATGTGATGTTGGGTAAGGGGTCTTCTTTTCCAATCCAAAACTTATGTAACCCAAATAAGTTGCTGCTACAATCCGCATCAAATCTCAACCAGTGCACTATCCTCTCTCAGCAGCATAAAACATGACCTAATTCATTAAACTATACTTTAAGTCGGACCGTTCTCGTGCGCACGCAGGAATATTAGAGCTCGCAGCAACAGTGGACCTTGACAGTTATTCATGTACTATGGGAAAGGCAAGGGCTAGCTGCCGGCTGGGCAGGATAGCGTGGATTGCACTGCTGAATGGAAACAGAGGAACAAGAAAACAAATCGTATCGTATGGCATGGCATGGTCGACATGTCAGTCAGGCATGTGTCATATCTATCGTAGATAACGTTGTCATGTTTGAATCTGCCTCTACGATTTTGTGACGAACAGCATCAGCGAGCAATGGCAGCTTCGATGATCAGCCCACGGACAATTGTCGTGTCTCCCATTCGCCTGTCAGCTGGTGTCATCTCCCAGTCGTCCAAAACTACTGTCGGAGCTGTCGCGAGGCCTCACTGCCATTCTAGTCGGGCGTTTGGCAACTGGACTCGGCCTTCTACATTTAAAAATTGTGGCAAATTTGTTGCTCGAAATGCGCAGATCAGGAGTAGAAAGCATAGCGGTGTAGTGAGAGCTAGAGGTGATAGAGGTGATAGCAACAGAGATGATGAGGGAGTCATCAAAGACATGGAAGTGTACCTGGATGATCTTTCCCTGGAGTATGACAGTGTCTGGGACACCAAGCCCGCCTGGTAAGTGACGCAGTCTTCCCAATCTAATTTCTCTTCCGATAGAAATCAGTTGTATTGTGTGGATAGTTGTGCAGCTAATTTGCACTGTACGATTCCACTTTGCGTCAATGTCGTGAACTACTCGCTTTAGTCTACAGTAGAACTTTGTGTACGTGTCGATGTTGAGATTTACAAAATTTTCATCCACAATAGTCACCTCTAAAGCTAGGCTGCTCGCAATTTCCGATTATAAAATCAAGACCATAAGTTTTTCCATCTATGAGATTCACTGATTTGAAATTGGAATTCTTAAAACCGTCCACGTTCCTGACAACCTAATTGCTTCAACCGAAAGTGCACGTTGGCCTCCGAATCTATAAAATAGATCAGAAGTTGTCTTCTTCACTGAGGCAAGTTTAGTTGTCAGAAAAGAGATTTGCGATAATCTGTTGTTCACATTCGAGTAATATATGCTCAATAAATTTGGGTTTCTGTGCGACTGACCTTCCTAGTGATCTGGTTTTAAATGCAGGTGTCAACCATGGACCATAGTGACCACTGGTCTAGGGGTTGTTGGCGGATCCTGGCTTACCTTCCAAAACATATTCGTCACAGGAGGAGCTTGTTTCCTGATAAGTGTCTGGTGGTTCAGTTTTCTCTATGCATACCCTTTGGTGAGTGACATATTATTTCCCACTTCTTATCATGGAAATCCCAGCTTTCACCGCTTGCATTTGAGTACAACTACGATTGTACATCTTTCCTTTTTTTTTCAGTCTTAAAAGGTAGTGGGACCCAGGTGCCGGATGCAAGGCTTCTTGCGAACTGTAACTACTTCTGCTATCACTGAGGAGTGTTATAGACTATGTATCCAGTGAAGAATCACTAACCCGTCGCATGTGTTTGGTTTTCAGGCTTATTCAGAAATGATTGCCGAGAGGAGAAAAATGATCAAAGATGGGAATGAAGATACTTTTGGTAGGAGAAGAGCTCAATGAAAAATCCCATATAGAACCGGGAAATTGCATTCAGTACTTTCCTGTCTTTCTTCGAATGTCTCTGGAGTGTAGAACACAGATACTTGAGTGTAAATTGTGACCTTTCTCTGGCATGGCAGGAAGCAACTCAAGATCTGTAACAGGATTAGCAACAGTAATCAGAACTTTGTAATTTAGCATGTCGAGAGTTTCACCGCTCTCACCATTATTTTAACACATCCAGTTCATCACAACCTTCTGTTTGAATTTTATTTATGATTCAATTCCGTATCTATCCTTCTAAGGTCAATCCACTTCGTAAACCACTATGTGGGAGAATGTCTCAAAAGATGTGCAGTTCGTCTGGAAGGAACAGTAGCTATTCGAGTTCTAAAACTGATGTCTCTCCGAGTGTATGAGATTGTGCACGAAGCTCTCTAGTTTGAACGCCGGCGAATGTAGGCTCAATCATGGTGAGGTTGAATGCACCAGTTCCATATTCATAACCCAGAGCTATCAAACTCGTGCAGTGAGCAGCGCAATCATGGAGATGTTGAGTGCACCACATTCACAAATCTAACCCACCAATATCAAACTCGTGCAGTGAGCGGCTCTTACACATCCTCGGAGGGCGTTGACATAAGTGGAATACAGTGGACACTTTCTGAAATTCAGTGCCCTCTCAGACCACAGCTATGTAAAACATTTCGTCTAGCACCCTATGTCACCTGTGTCAGTGAAAGGTTGTCTCAACTCACTCATTTCTGCAGCAGGTGTGAAGCTACAGATTAACTTTTCTTTCGAGTTCCAAGTTTAAGTGATTTGTACGCAGTATTCTTCAGACGCTTCCTGGAGCTACACTATCGAACCTGAGGAACACGTTGGAGCCTTCAGACACAAGGGTCTGCCGAAAGTACACAACGCTCTTTCGGTCGGAACAGCAGTGCTTATTTGCGTCACTGGCAGGCAGACCTATCATTAGCAAGGTTCCAACCATTTGGAATCTTCTGAGTGATGACAAGTTGCACTAAAGTGAATCAATCGTTCAGTCCATATCAGCGATGACTATTAGTGATGAGGCTTTCAAGCCCCAGAGGAGATCCAAGAGGTAAACAAAGTCGCAACGCATGCTGCACGGGCAGACGGCAAAAGCACTTGGAAGGCTCCAGGTAACTGTAAACTCATGGTAGGCAGAAAACTCTGGGAACAAGTAATGTCAGTCTTGTGAGCACTTCAACCATCAAAAGTCAAGCATCCAGCTGTTCACTAACTGTAAGTAGCTGGAACCTCTTGGTGGGTTTAAAACACCAAAACAAGGTCCTGGAATCACCAAGTATTGCGACCGTCATCATCCATTTCGAAGAGCTCAGATGGCTCTAAGTATCTGGAAATATCCAAGTTTCATGGTGTGTTAAAAACTCATGTCTGGCAAAACAAAGTGTTGTGAGATTAATGAACTCCTGAAGGCAACTCCTTAGCCACTGAAGGGTCAAGCATTCGAGAACACAAAGTGGATGTGAAATCCTGACAATTTGTCCGCGAATTCGCGACAAATTGTCAGGATTTCATATGAACTGTCGTGATTCTTAAATGTCATGTGATACAAAATAACACCAGCCTAATGGGCAGTTCCAATGATCAAGCATTCAGATATTCGTGGCTCAAAAAATCTGGAAACTCGTGGTGGGTTCAAACGCCGACAGAAATGTAATGAAACTCCGTGTAATGTCAGCGTCGCGAGCACTCGGAGCAAGGACATCAACTCTTGAAGTGTTCAAGCATCCAGCAATCCATGGTCGGCTTCAAATCCAATAGAACACCCTAATGGCATCTGGCCCTCTCGGTCAACAAGTAGCCTAGCAATCATGTCCAACTCTGCCCGAAGCGACAGACTGAAGCACCCAAGTCCTCCATGCAACCGGATCTCAAGAGAGATTTCCTCAGAATTCCTGTTCAGAGTTTACTTCAGAGAGACCTTCTACTTCTTGACGTTTACCCGTACTTACAGTTACCCATCTCACCTTACATTTCGACATATTTTTTCCGAGCTACAAACTGCCAGGACCGTGAAAAGACAACAAGCACGACGGGCCGCAGCGTCATACAATGAGACAATGTCACGGGCAAAGCGATACATTCAAGAGCAGGATGCGACACAAAAGCGCAGCGCTATTACAAACACGAGGAATTTTCTGCAATGCCCTACCCAACACGGCGCTACTCTTATCCACCGACGCGTCATTGCGAAATCTGAAAGAATCCGAAAGGGTGAGTCCGAACTTTACTGAGGACCATCTTTCACGTTCTAAGCTCGAGCTAGCGAATCTCTGACTCCGAGAACGGGAGTGGCTGTTGACTCGAGGACGCCGTCCACTGTGGGGAAAAAGTCTTGCGCGCATGCAGAACAACAAATGTGTCTGATTTGCACTGTACGGCTCGAAGGTTCCAAAGATGAACGGACCAACAAGCTCATGATGGGCTTCAAACACAGAACAGCGACGTCACGCATGTACGAGGTTCTGAGGCCTCAAACGACTCGGCTGCACGGGGCTCCTACTCGGGTCAACAAGCGAGCTCTACTTGCAATACCTGGTGAGTGTCGGGTATCGATCCCGGCTACGTTGGTAGTCAGAGCAGTCCGGATTTGGACCACCGAGTGTCTCCAACATGCGCGCTTGGCACAAGCGAGCGTGTTGGGCACACTTGGCACAAAGGAGCGTGTTCGTCCCCATCCGTCTTCACATCCCCAGTTAAGCCCTATTGTCCGCATTCGGCATACTGTATTCGCTGATCATCAACGCGGAGTCCTGGAGGTGTCCAGATCCATTCGTCACCCATTTTGATACTCAGCCGAAGGCGACAGGAAATGCCAAACCTTCTTGAGCTTTGAGATCCTTTGCAGAAAAGCAGACCAGCCGGATCTGATAAAGCCCAATAATTTTTAGAATTATGCAATTTAAATTAATTTGTAGAATCTCCTGATATCAATTTTGGGATTTATTGAGAGAAAGACTATAGAATCTTGGTTGTACTGGAAGATAACGTGACTTTTCCATTGTAGTATGGAAAAGTAGTAATCCAAACAAGTAGTGTTGGAAAATGCAACAAACAGCACTACTCAGATGTGAAGTAAATAATAATCCAACCATCCAATTCTTACCTTTCATTCTTGAAGTTTGTGACATGTTCTTGTTTACAAATTCAAGCTTTTAGTATGCTAATAGTTAGAGAAGTTGTTCGTGATCTTTTTCAATCAAATCATATCAGCACCATACTCGCTACAAAATTGTTTAACACGATTGTCATATGGATGAATAATATTTGTAATGAATTCTAATTCTAATTCATCTTAACTAATTCATAATGCATCATTTGAAGTGCCACATCCATTCGAGTCCCATTTTCACCAAAAAAAATTTGCTTGAACATCGCTAATGTCTAAAAACTGAAAATTGTAATCAACAATCATGGACATTGCATGGAATTTTCAACAATCTTACTCACATATGTGAGTTGGATTGTTGATTACAACTTTACTTCTAACCATCATGATCACATATGCTTCACACATAAAATTCCATGAATTCCATATGAAAATACACAATCTTTTCATTTGAAAGCATAACTCAAAACAAATACCCGATCCAAGATACCTCATCATGAATGTGGGTAGGTATATTACTTATTGTTTCATCATCTTCCACATAAGTAACACTCATTCTCTCTTATCGCTATGTAATCGATATTATTATTTTTTACAAAATGTCCAACATAGTGCAAATATTGATTACCAACTATTTGATTTCAATTTGCTGGTACAGCAGAATCATGTCTCTTGACTGTAGAATGATCAATGTGGTAATGCATGATGACAACACAAGAATAATGATCGTCATCATGATCCATCATAACTACAACAAAGCAAAAACAATATGTTTCTCCTTAATATGAACAAGCAAACGATGACGTTTATCAATCATCCAATAGATCATGTTCCCAAAATGCGCCTAACAATTTGTATTCTTTGTACAGTTGCTATACATTTTGGTTATAAGATTGGATTGTTGTTGAAGATGATAGAAGAAATCATGTGTCACTTTCAAATACTCTCACATCTTGTAGACGGTCGGTACATGTTTTGTTCACAAAATCAATCTGATGAGGCAAATATCATATACAAGTAATCAGTTGAGTAGCTTCTTTGTCAAGCAAAGCCATAATATCACTAACCTGACCATTATTTGTTCCCTAAACATCAATTATAACAGTGAGAAGTTTATTGCCCTAGATTTGATACATAGAATTCAAAATTTTCATGATCATAAATGTTGTATCAATTGTAGTGTGGCAATCAAAATATGTATACATAATAACGTGCAAATTATCCGGCTAATCTTTAACACAAATTCAAAAATGTATGTTGAGAAAAATTTTGCACCGATGATCATCTCCATCAAATGTCAAGACAAACGTTCATATTTCATGATATGTTAGAATGTCGGATATAATTTGAAAATTTATGTCAACATTGAATGATCAAAAGTGATCATTCAATCTCGTCAATTTTGCATTCTTAATGTGCGTTGATGATGTCTTATCATAGTTATGTTTGGCAAAATGAAAGAATTGTTGATGTATAATCAATGCAAGGATTGAATCAAAGTATGTAATCAAAGAATCAAAAGTTTTATAGTGTTCGTTAGAGAGATGTTCCTCATGCTTCTTATTCTCATCATCTTCTAGATTGAAAACATATATTAGATAATATTTTCTACTATAGATGTCTTGATTGTACATAAATAACCTTAAAAGTCTTGTTAAAATATGATTCAACATTCCTTGAAACATTGGAAAAAAAATTCTTCTTCTCATTCTTGATATTCAACCTATGCATTTGTATTTGTATGTTTTACTTGATGATGATTTCGGTACAATGTGGAGTATAATGTTTGCCACATTAAAACATTTTGTGTACTATGTCTCTTCATTATAATATAACGTTCTTAATCGTATCAATTTCAATGATCTGCAACCTTAATTTCAAATTGTTTTTGGATTGAAATGGAGTTGGTTTTTATTTTACATTTGTAGTAACAATTGCCAACTCAAAAGCTAGATGTAGCTAACCTTTAGCTTTGAGTTAGAGATTCTTGCTACAATCAAGAAATGCTAAAATCTTTGTCTTCAATTTACTTCACGTTTAATGCACATTGCATGCCGGTAAAACAACAATGTTAGCTGTAATCAGTTTGATTTATAAACACATTTCATAAAGTGAAGTATGATGATGACGTATTCTATTTTATGTACTCTGCAAAGTTAATTTTTTAAAAAAAATTGGAATTTTGTGGCAAATTTCCAAAATATTATATGTCCATGACTAAACTGAGATGTTACAAAATCGTTGCTTGAGGTTCAAACTTTAAACTTCATTGATTGTAGATATGGCTTTTTCAACTCATAACGACACTATATGGATTGAAATGGATGGACTAAAATCAAATTTCAAGGATGTGAAATTTTTCATAAAAATTGAATGGAAGTGAAATATCATATTAGGCTTAGTTTGGGAGTCATAGGTTGGATTTAGATTCTTCATCATGTTTAGAAAGATTGCTAGTAGTTGTTCGTTCTTATCAATGTGATCGTGGATTGCTTAGTCAACATATCACTAAATTGATTAATCAATATATCAACATTTTCATTGTTCAAGTTTGAGCATGAATATTTATTTTCATATGGATTTAGAGTTGATATGTTTGATAAGCTAATAAGACTTATGGTAGATTTACAATTGGTTTGAAAGTACCAGGTTATCAATAGACTTGTTTATTCACTCATATTCTTGAACGGAGAAAGAGTGTGACTACAATGAAACGAGTTCACATCTTTGCTGTTTTAGATTTGAGCTTTATAAATATATATAAATGTTGATTTAACATGTATGAGAGAAATTGAATAAAATTGTATCAAACTTTGACTCAGATTATTATATTCTCTATTCTGGAATCACTGCTTTTGTATTGGTCCACTTGAAACACTAGCTACTTTTATATAAAATATATCAATAAAATTAGATGAAATGATTTAATTTATTGTTTATAGATATTTTATCTAGATAATTTGGATATTTTAGATGTATAGTAAAAAAAAATTGAAATAATCCTTGTAGAGCTTGACGATTCTTTCATCCACTTTGTGTTACTCTCATTTAGATTGAATTATATATACATATCAGCTAAATAAGATAATAACTTAAGACTATGTGATGAAGATTTAAAAAAATCTAAGACTTCTATTTGCTAATGTAAATATTTTTAAACTCATTACCTTAGCAAATTGAAGTGAAATCAAACACTACATACATGGTTGATGAATTATAAGTGCTTTGTATTCAAGATCTCAAAACACAGTAATGTGCATCTCACTTTAGAGTCTACATTGATAGCATTTGTATAAGTCATTGTGGTTGTTTTAAATATGAAGAATAACTTTGATAGCTGGATCTTGCAAATTTGTGATATTTGGTTTTGATGGATGTATGTTGTATAATAGTCGTGGTTTCATGGATCCAAGCACATAAAAGCTTACTGAGTATTAATCAGAGCATCATGATTCTCAACAGTTAATTTTTGTACAGATGAATATAGTAACGTACCAAATGAACAATTGTTAATATTTGGACAGTGATGATACTTTTTCTGATCTCGATTTTGGGTACAAAATCGAGATGAAATAATGCAAAAAATTCCTTATACAATACATTGCATGAGGAAATTGAATTTTTTGTCAACTGCCATTGTGGTAGCATTATGTATTCATTTCTCCCTCCTATGAAGCTTAGAGTGTCGTGATACATTCTTCGTCCTTATCATCGTTGTAAAAGATACAATACCAGGTCTTCTCATGTACAAGGACTTGATTTCATGCTCACACATCACACGCTAACTGTATTACTGTTGTAGAGTAACAACACCAGTTTTGCTTGTTTTCATGGACTTGCTTTAATGTTCACATCAAGCGCTGAAGGTTAAGAAGATAAGTCATGCATGTTCGTTCTAAACGACGTCTGAATGATCAAACAAAGTTTTCCATAAAGATGAACATCTTTCTACCCGTAGCATCTTGAAGTCAGAACAGTTAATTTATTTCAATCAAGAAATCATTAACTATACTTAATCTTCAACACACATAGTTCAATTTTCGTGTGGAAGCATGAAGTTAATAGACGGAAGAGAGACCGCCACTTTGGATGAAGTGATGGCCTACCTTTATTTTATGATTCTCTGAAAGATCCCATCTCTGCGTGACTATGGAAGAATGCGTTTGTCAAAGAGAGAGGAAGGAAGATAGACATCTTAAAAATGTGCTTATTGATCTGTTTATTTTCGATTTTGAGCTGGTTTTTAGTTCGCTTTCTTACTAATAATTACAATCATTCTATGATTTAGTATACACAGAGATGATGTTTATTCGCTACTAAGTTGTCGCGGATCAATTTTGCCTTTGATTTACACTGCCACATAGATTACATGAATAGTTTTTTATGGTGTTTCTTCGCATTTACATGTTTGCTTATCCATTGGCTTTGAGCAGGCTTTTCAATTACGAACCAAAGTTTCAGAATTCTAGTTTTCTTCTTAGTAGTTTACCTTCCCGTCCACACCAGGAAGTTAGACATGGAGTCTACTTATAGCTGCTAATTCTGTTCTATTCATACTCTGTGTTCGCGTATTTGCGTGTATACTTATCTATTGACTTTAAGCAGGCTTCTCAATCAAGCACCAAAGTTTTAAGCTATGATTTTCTTTCAACTTGTCTTCCTTCCCATCCACATCAAGAGGTTAGATGTGGAGTTTAGTTTCTACAGCTAATCCTATTCTATGCTTACTACTACGGTCTTAACCCTGTCCTTGGAATTTTTCCTTACAGTACGCAAACGACGATTAGGAGGAGGATGATTATGATTCTTTAGTCTGTTCATGTCAGTCATCAAGTGCTTTCGTAGTGTCAAACGTGACATTGATTTGCTGATCGTTTTTGTCCATTATTTTGAGGACTCAGTGTACTCAAGTGTTAGTTTTTCACAAAGTCCTTGACTGTCACCACGCTTTTTTCTCCCTTGAGACTCCAAACGTATAATCTTAAAATTAGCATTGTTGCTATGTTTGCATAGGGAGGAGATGTCATCAATGTGACAAGCAAGAAAAGATTAATAACAAACAATACAAACCCCTTAATTCACTCTCATGTGATCCCTAGAAAACGATTGTTAGTATTAGATAACTAGACAGGCTATCATTTGAGGAAGTTAAACGTAAAACAAAAAACTAGAAAGACACCATCTTACAATACAGGGATGAAACCGAAAACTGCCAGTCAAACTACACCCAGAAGACAACATAACGAGTTCAGTGTTCTATCATTTTGATGGGATAAATTTCGTATTACATGAACATCCCGACAATCGTAACTATGGTATACTTCATATCAGAGTGAAAAATATGTCTTCTTACACTTCAGGTCTTAAAACTATCCAAATGAAATCGCAATTCACACATTCAACAAAAAACCACTGTACAGGAAAATACATGGATTGCCCCAAGAAATGCCCATTGTACAACTGTGTACACACGCTGTCTGACAACTACTACACTACATGATAAACTTCATATCACAGCCGCCAGTTAATAATAACTTTGATCGGGAAAGACAATTGCTCTTACCTCCCTAACTCTTTCAAAGATATACGTTGATGTTTTCGGATTTGTAGGTGATAAGACGCACACTTGTGGCACTTCTAAGAAGTGGACACTCAATGCATATGTCTTACACAATGTCACAAACACTTAAAGAATCAACTTCATCTCGTGTTTGATAGAACTCTCACGACCATGTTGAAGTTAAATATACAAACTTATATCTGCACAGAACTACACTTGAATATCTTGATGGGTACCTTGGTTGTTGCTGCTCCACTCGACACAATCTCACATCTTTGGGATAATTTGAACTGAGCTTAAGCAAGTGCATGCTGTTGCATGTTGCAGATATTGGGCGAGGGTTATGAAACCGTCAGTCAAAGGTGTTATTTAGTAGTCTGCCTCCAAGTCGATGGATGCTTATACGCATATGTACTAAATTAATATTTCGGAAAGCTTACTTCACACTTATTGCCCATGTAGTGAAGAATACCTTGTTAGAGGGTGTGAAGTCGTTATGTCGCTCACACAGTACAAAGGCCGTCAAAAAAACCTACAATGGTTAGAAACGGTGATCTCACGATCACCGTTTCAAAGGAGCTCTAGGCTCCTTTGCATAGCCAAGTGTCCTTCGCATGGCCACATAAGGCAGCTCACCCCAGTAACACCAAGAACACCTAATATGTACGATGCTCATCCAATTCGTGAGTGAATTCCCTGCAAAGGAAAACTCTGTGCTGACGGCAAATTTATGAAACAAATTCGATGATCCATATGTTTCACTATTCCGTATCATGGTACAATCTGGCCAAAGTATGAGGACTACCAAGGCACTGTCTGAAGTCTTCGGATTATTCTCAGTCAATGGAAGAATAAGTGGCTACACTAATGAGGGGAAAATTGAATACCTCATTTGGTACAGTATACGACCGCATTCTAGTGCTTTAAACACAAGACAGGAGCCACCAAATTTGGAAAAACTCCATTATACTCATCTCATTTGAACTCGAGGAACAACATTTATAGAAAATGAAACAGCAGAGACACTTCCACCCTGCAGAGGGAAGGGACCAGACAACAGTCAGTAAAAAGCATTGCAAGTAACCTGAATTCACGGGATAGTAAGACCAGTTACAAACATTTCCCGAAACCTACTTACGCTTTTTAACTATTTTCATACTGCGTAAACCTCTTGTTCAGCATTTTTACCCGCCATTAATTTCACTTTCTTGGGCTCTGGTTACGGACCAATCAACACGTATGAGACAGTACGTGATCAGTCGCAAGGACTCGGGATGGAAGAGACAGAAGCAACAGAAATCTATGTGCTTCGTCTCAAGGGTCTCAAGTGCTAACGAAATATACTAGATGGAAAGTTACAGGAAGACGATGGTGGTAAACGACGTGACATGCATGAACTGAAGGTGTGAGATAACGTATAACAAACATATGCACCAATACGAATAGTCTAGGAGCAACAGAATGGTGGAAATTCTGGAGGAGACCAGCAGTCGAATTAACAGAGGTAGAAGAACTAGAGCCTCGTACACAGGATCCAATCCGACGCAAGCCCAACAAGTCAAGGTATAAACTATGTTTGTTGCCGAACTATCCTTTACGACGTAGAGATGATTGATAAATGCTGTCCCTCAGCAGCTATGCCTTTTTCCGCATTCGCTCGCGTTAAGCTTCAAACTGAGCACGTCACCGCGTCAACCGATTTGTAAAAGGGAGCAATGACGCCCATATCCACTCCGCAAGCTCAGATTACTAAAATGCTCATCATGGGGACCCTAGACTAGTGAATCAGAATCTAAGGCAAATGCATAAGCGCGGTAAGTACCTTCGAAGTTGAGGTCTTAGAAGTTCAAAAGAATTTTCTCCTTGGGAACTCCCTCTTCCACAAGAAGGGCAGTCACATCCTGCTCAAGAAGAAAAAACAGGTGAGTCGTTTAAAGATCTGATAGTGCTCAATCAGCTTATACCAAGGCAAGTTACCTCCGCATTTCCCAAAAGCTACGGCGACTTAGACTTGACGCTTTCTCTGCCAACCTCACGATCCAAACAATTCGGCATTGCCATACGTAGTGGTGCGCATACAGTAATTAGGACTTCGGAACAAAATGTACAGAAACCAATGATGAGAGTTCCCTTCCTGGATCTATGTAGGTATTGTGTGGGCCTACCAGTGCCATCTGTTTGTGTCCGCACAGCAAAGCTCCTGTTTGTGGTCCATTAGTAATTGCTTTGTTTTTGGAGAAGAAAGCCTGCGCATCCTCCCAAGAAAATAAAATGATGAGCTCGGCCGACGTGCACGTAAAGTAAGCATCAACACGTGAAGAAGAACCTCATGATTATGGTGTACAAACCTTGGAAACGGAGTTGACTAGAGTTTGTAAGATAACCATCGCTACATGAAAGCAGATGAAGCTCCATACCTGAACGTATCCTTGAGCGCCAGTCCACTCCTCGCCAGGTTGTGAAAGAACAGGAATGACCTGTACACCTGATGACTCCCATGCTTTAAATTTGTCCTGCAGGAAACAACGTGAAAAACTGCAAATTTAGTGCTTCATACAAAGAAGATAAGTAGGCACCAGCCGTAAAGTTATTCAGTGTTATGGAAATCCATGAAAACTAGCAATATAATGGTTTCTGTGTTGCCAATCCTGATGCCTAAGACAGCACACTCTCACACGCAAGGAACTCTGTCTTCATTGTATCCAGTAAGTGCATAGTTTGCAGACCTGATACGCCATCCTCTCGAGATTTCTGGCGCCGTAGTAAAGCCTCACATCACTTCTCTTGTTCGCTTCAAAACCGGCTTCGATCAGTGAACGAATTGGACTGTCCTACATCATTCCAGATTAATAGTTAGAAAGAATATATGAGGAATTTCGAAGTGGAGATTCAAACGGAAAGATGTGAATTGTAAGTTCGAACTGATAAAAAAACAAAACTGCGTTGTGCACTTCAGTGTACCTGATGCCAGAACCCGTGGCAAAGAGCAATACTGTCTTATTCTCTTCAGCAGGAAAGATTCGCTCAGTTGGGAAGCCACTTCCCATGACCTGGCTCAGCTCAACCTTGTCACCTTTTCGTACACTACATATCATACCTGCCGTGCTACCTTCGATGTCCTTTATCAAAAATTCTAGCCTCCCCTTTCGTGCAACTGTTGGCGCAGAAGCAATAGCCAAAAATGCGGGCTTAACATTTCCAATTTTCACCTGATTTTTGCAGACATATAAGAGTCAGGATTTACTACCATACCAACCACGGACTGATCGAAATTGGTGTGAAGATGAAATCCCAGACCATAACTTACTTGAAGAAGCACATTTTGGGACGAGATAAGATGAATAAAACTTCAAAGAAATGTAAGAGCTACAATTCAATAGACCAACACATTTTCATGGGATCCAACGGACAAGCGAGCAGCAGAACTGGCATGTAAAAGGCATACCTGTACAAATTGGCCAGCTTTAGTGTGACCATTCATGAGCTCGGGATTATCGCTGATATCTAACACAACATGGTACAAATCTTCGGCGGCAGTCTCCACCTCCGCTACAGGCGAAGTCGCCCATAGCACTTCCTGCGCCCAGGACGCTCGAGCTCCGACACCTCGGTAACTCCTGCGCGGCTGATGCTGCAAAACTCGGGCTCCCCTGAGAGACCTCAGGCTCGCCAATCTGAACCCTGGCCCCACTGCGGCCCCCATGAAAGAGGACCTCACAGAAGAGGCATTCGAAGCGGCAGCGCAGCACAAGACATTGCTCGGCCTGCGAAGTTGGGCGCAACCACCTTCGACAGTTGCCAAAGAGCAGCTGCGCAGAGATGCAGAGGACAAGCTTAGGGTAGCAGCAGTGGCAGCCATGCCGCTCCCAGACTCAAAGAGCAGGTGACGTTTCTCTGCGAGGTCGTGGGCGAAGTTCACAGGATTGCTGTGCAGTTGAATCAGGCCCGATGTAGTCGTTGCTCTTCCACGAAAGATGGTCTTCGTCGGAGAAGGGCCAAGCAAGCGGAGCGAAGAGACCGGGAGAAGGTATCCCCTACTATCCTTCTCTGGAACCCATGAGGGTGACGCACATCCTCACCCGGCCAAATGATCCCCACCACTCGATATCTGCTTATGCGCATGTCGATTAGATTTTCACGTACTTTGTCCCTCTCATGGTTAATCGGAGAGGAAGGGATATCGTTTCGTTTCAATGGGAGATTGAAAACCTGAGGAAATACGAATGTCCTTGTAGGAAGTAATGAATTTTGAAATTGCAAAAGTGATGACCAGGGTTGCGAATGAAAGCCAGACTTGGCCAAATGAAGTATAATGAAACTGAACGAACGGAGCTTCAAATAATAAAATACAATCTTTATACTCATACTATTGTTTCAAACTCAACAAATATGAGAAAACTCTCAGTTTGATCTTAGAAAATTATCATGTTGTTGTAGTATGTGAATGGTTTTAACCCAACGTCTATCTAGATCCATAACCTCCAGCTTGTCCTTGATTTGAATCTCCGAGAGCAAATAATTGCCAGATTTTGGCCCAACTCCATAGCCTTCAACTTGTCCTTTACTTGTATCTTCTAGACCAAATAAAAATCATGCTTATTGTAATTTTTTCATATACTCCTCCTCTGGACTTCATGAATGTCATCTTGTTTTGCCAAACACTTGAAGTTGTTTCTTATGCCGTTTTAGATCACTGATTTGCAGTTCTCGAATATCCTTGATATTTTTAAGCTTATGTTGCCAACTATGTTAGTGTCTTGTTTGCTTCTGTTTTCATTTGTACCGGTAAAATTTTAGTCTCGATTATTTCTTTTCACCGTCTTAAAATTAATAGTTCACTGTTGCCGCTTCTAATCTTGGCTAGAGCCAGCTTTGTAATTACAAGTCACGTTCTTTTCACCTTCTTCCAGGTTCCAATACAAGACCAAATGCTTTTAATGGTTGGTTTGAAATGATTGGAAACACTATATTATAATTCAATCTTTGATTAACTAGCAATTGTAGTCGTTCAGACTGAATTATATTATTATCCATCTCTAAGAAGTGATTAATTTGAAACTATGAAGCAACAAATTGGACAAAAGATAAAAGACGAACCAGCAATAATAGATTTACAAGATGCACGTGCTCAAAAAAATGGAAAAATATCATTCTCATCAAACAAGAGATGAGTCACATGCATATATAGCTTTCATATGTAGCTTTCAACCGTATGTGTCTAATTTCATTCTCTTGATGATTGACTTATATCATTTTAGACAATGAGTCAATTATCGCAACCACATGATGATTGTGTTTATGTTTTCATGAATGCTACTGCCATTAATCTACAAGGAGATTTTCATAAGTTCTAACTTTTTTAAGCTAATGTCTCTCAATTTAACTCTCTGATCGTGTTCTCTTTGTAGTATAATCTCTTTATCTTCCCTTATTTTTATTAATCTTTGTGGCATTTTTTTTTGACAGAAATTGTTTAATATTAAAAAAATCTGACTATCTTGAGATTTGATAATAAACTTTGTGATTAAATTTTGTATTCAGAAAGTGACACAGAAGGAGCTAAGATGATTCAGGCGTCACAAAACCTTATTTTCTTAGTTGTATAGTAATCTATGTATTTTTTCTTTTTCAATATAGCGATTTAAAGTTGTGGATCAAATCTTGCATTGTATCTCTAGTTTGATGAAAAACATCGTCGAAATTTTCTTATTCATCTCATTTGATCCTTAGCTTTTATGTGTGATTACTTGTCACGGGTCTTTTTTAAGCAACATCTTAAGATCACAAAGAATCATGTTTATTGGGATTGATTAGGATCAGTTCAAAAGCATTTGAAGTGTGTAGATCATCTTTTCCTAGCTTTTGAATTTTTTTTGCCAATATTCGCTCTGAGATTACAACTTGAAATTACAAATATTGTTTCATTTGTTGTTTGAATTTCTTGCCAATATCGGCTTTTGGCTTGCTTTTGGATTTGTAAGATAGGCTTTAGTCTGATTGCAAAAGACCTTAGTATTAACTTCTTTTGCAATCAAACTTGTGTCAAGTGTTCATTGTTGGTTTTGTTTTCGAGAAATCCGTTTTAGAGTTCAAATATGAAAACTAAGGGTGCCAAAATATAACATGATGCCTGATCATTGTATTAGGTTTTAGTTTTGTAAACTAGTGTGTTTCATAAAGTAACAAAAAAAATTGATATCAAAATGATAAAGACAAAACTTGGATTATGTTTAAATCATCAATATTTTTCAAATCTTGATTATTTAAATATAATCCAAGTTGATAATGAACATGATCCAAATAATACCAAGAGCTTCAATGATACCTGAAGATTATGAAGTACTATTGCACATGATTTGATGGTTTATTAGACAATGTCAAATCCTTGCTAGACAACGTTGATGCTAATTGTGGACAAGATTTGAACAAGAAAAAATCTAAAACTCGTTATGTGTTTACACTTGATGATGTATGTATTAATTAGAAATTTTGCAAAAATGCCTAGCTAAATTTATAACAAAAGACAAATATATAGCAGCAGTAGAAGTAACAAAACAAGCTATTTAATTCAATATGCTTATTACGTACATGTGATTGAAACACAAGTTTGCCAAACGTGTCAAGTAAAAGTATCATTTCATTAGACATGCAATTTTTGATAAAAAGCTAGTCAAAATTGATAATAAATTTAATTCAATTGATGCATTGATCAAAGTTAATCATTTGAAGAATGTTAGGAATCATTGTGCTATTGTGCAAATTTTATATGAGGAGCATAAAAAACAATTTAATAACAATTTTAGTTAACTTTATATATTTTTACTGTATCATATTTTGATTACATGTTAATTCTAGTTAGTTTAAATTAAAAAAGAATCGTGTGAAAGATTTTTTTAAAGATTTTTTGTAGAGTAATCATTTTGGTTATAGAAGTTAATATCCATCGACATAAATTAAGAGTAAGATTGTTTGGATTAATTCTATCTCCTGTAAGATTTTGACTAGGTATTTTTTAAAGAATTTTTGTAGAGTAATCATTTTGGTTATAGAAGTTAATATCCATCGACGTAAATTAAGAGTAAGATTGTTTGGATTAATTCTATCTACTGTAAGATGTTGACTAGGCATTTTTTAAGGAATGTTTGTAGAGTAATCATTTTGGTTATAGAAGTTAATATCCATTGACAAAAATTAAGAGTAACATTGTTTGGATTAATTCTATCTACTGTCAGATGTTGACTATGTTTCTGAGTGATCCGTTTTAGAATTTGATTCAATTTGATTTTGAGTAGCCAAGATCTAATTTGTCTTGGAACACCTTCTCAATTTTGGTTTCATAAATTCATGCGTTTTTGTGGAGTAGCAAAGGCATATTACGTTATCTTTCGCGTTGAATCTGCGTGAATGTGTGCTATGTGAGTTTTAGTTTTTCAAGCAACAACAGGAAGTTTCAAATCGATTGGAGAGATAACCATAAAAACTTACAAGATAACCATATGCACAATCAGGCTGTTTTTTGTATTTGAAGCATTGTCGGCGTCTTTGATCAACTATAACTTTGATTTTCTGAAAGAAAATACTATTACTTAAAACAATATCATCTACTTCACAATAAGAGCAATGCCATCAACTCCACCCACGCAAGCTCCGACTGCAACAAACAATTGACTTTCGGCGCCCTCTTATACTTCAATTCACACATATAATAAAACCACTGTCATTTGTTTGGTTGAAGAATTGACATTCAAGCTCTCATTTTCTTGCCCAAACCGTTCTTCAAACCATCCAACTTGTTTCGACATTGCTTGTATTCAGAGAAGAGTTCGCCTTAAAGCACTTAACATTTGTTCATATTATCCACTACATATTTTTAATCCTAACACCGAATTCTTTTGCTTCGTGGTGGCATACTCAGAAGCAAAATTTGTTGGTTTTCCGTAAAGGAAAACTTGACACTAGCTTCATGCTTCAACGTTTTGATTCCAACGCAATCTTCTATATCATTTCAAATGACATCAAGATTGACTGTGTAGCTTTTTTGCATCACAGCACGATTAATTTTTTTGTCCTTTTAAATCAACGGATTTTTTTTTTCTGTTTTGAAGTACACCAAACCAAACCAAACTCTTATACCAATTGTAAAATCAAAAAAATCAAAGATCCATAAAATACAGAAAGAAGGAACTAGAAGGTTTTAATTATATCCAAATAATGTTCAAGGAGAGTTATTGCTCACACTCCTTCGTAATATGTAACAGAAACCTTATATCCAACTGCGAATAGGTTTAAGCTAAAGAAATTATATATCATACTTGAATAATACTAAGAAAATATTTCACTTGCTAGTTCCTCGTCTATTGAATGACATAGACTGCATCCACCCACAACTTTACTTCCAAAATTTAGATGGTCTTTAGGTCAGGTGATATTGTAATTCTTCAAATGCACAAGGAAAGCTTGAATATTCAACAAAACAATTATACTAATGTCAAATCTACCAGGTATGTATGATAGATTGAATATAAGATGATAAAATAGCTCGATTAGACCGATTATGAGGAATTTTTTAAATATGTATTGGTTAAATTGAGAGGACAAAGGGGTATATACTAGACCTTGCATAGACTGGATGTCGTTGGGACCCTCCCTGACATCCACAATTCGGACGAAGGCGAACTGTGCACCGAAATGAGCGGTAGCTCATTCCGACAGCAAAATGTAATCTTCATTTTCAACCCACAAGATTTCGACTTCGTTGTGACGGCACCATATGTACTGTGGCATCGGTCGTCTGCTGTTTTCTCTTAGCCTGTCAAATTCAAGGCACTTTCATTTTCCTGAACTGGTCAATGACCTGTGGCTTCCATGCAACAACTGCTTTGTTCCCTTCTTCGTATATTCTAGACTGTATAAGCAGTAGCACAGGACACCTGACAAGTAGGAACGTAACGCAAGAGCATCGACTGCATTCCGTAGTTACTTGGAATGTGCTGGATAGTGTATCATGAGATATTTGAAAAGTGATGGAATCGTGGTGTGAAATTTCATCCAGGTGAAATGCGAATACATGTACATGTTGGCATGCAATCATGCAAAAAAAACCGGATGTACAGCACTGTCTATTAAGTTACCTAATCCCAGCCCGCATGCAGTTCCTTTTTCTTCTCCTTAAAGCCCTAGCTAAAATATGATATGCTTATGTTAACATTTAGACTAGGCTGACACGGGACACGGATACTTTTCTTCCAAAAGAGTTTATTGTGGTTGAAAGTCAAGTCTTGACTTATTGACCTACTTCATTACATTCGAATGAAAGGCATGAATATGAATATATATATATATATATATATATATATAAACAATAATGAGAGATATTATTCAAAGTATTGGATAATTTTCATAAGTGAATACAATATTATGTAATTTAAAAATTTTAGCATCGACTAAAAATCGAGATATGCTTCTCATACAGTATTAAATATAAATATATATAAATTCAGAAACCTACCATTTGCCAGAAATTAAGAGGCCTGGTGTAACGCGTCTTCACAAATGTAACGTTGCAAATGTTGAGAAGGCTATCTTGATATGCATTCGATTAGCATGCCGATCAAGGCTACAATTTCGAACAAAGGAAACAAATCCGAATGTCTGAACACGTACATGCCGCCTTCTGGAACGAGAAGTCGAGAACATGACATTTAATTTAGACCTAACTGAAGAAGTACCCGAACGGAGAATCGGAGCACCGTGGAATCTGCGGATGTGTGCATTCGAAGAGCAGGAATGTCCGCCCTGCTAAGGCGGCTGCCTCGGAAGGGGAGGAAGGTGGATCTGCGAATGAGGGCCGCAGAAAGCTAGATGCAGCGACGGACACGGAAGCAGAGGCGCAGAAAGACGGGGGGACCGGCGAGACCAACGTCCGCGAGGCGGGTTGTCTCCGGTCAGACCGACGCTTGTTGAACGGCTGCCAAGAATCACCTGCCCGCGAGGCGATACCGCGGGGCGACAAAAAGTCAATCCGTCCAGAGTTCGGGTCTCCCGATCCGGCCCCAGGCTCGCCTGTCCGCTACGCTCCAGTGGACAACCGCGATACTGCTCGAATATAAAGAATAAAGAATAGAGAAAGAAAAGCGCCAGCTTTGAAAAAGGGAACTGAAGACGGGAGACGAAAGCAGAACGGGCTTCACGGGGCGTGGTGGGGGGCGGCGGGCGAGGAAGACAGTTAACAGGCGACAGGAAGAGTTCGTCCATTCACGGGAGGAGAGAAGCTCAGCGAGCTTGACAACAGAGAACAGCATTCAGCCCCCTCAGCCCCGTGCGCAATTCCCAGCTTCCTTCCTTCCTCCTCCTCCTTCTCCACTAGATTCGGCGCTCTCGTCCAAACTGTGGTCCCCAAACTGGGCCTTTTTGGATACTTGCTGATATTTCCACTTCACCTGAGTAGTGACTCCCTCTGATCCAGGAATTGTTGACTCCCTGCTCGTCGCGGCCGGACCGATCCCCGTCGATAAGGAGGAGAGATCCTCGTGCTAGCAACGCTCCTCTGGACAGAGATACGCAGTCATTCCGGCTGTCTTGCACATTGGTGGGTCTCTGACAAATCGACTGACAGAGGGAGGAGAAGAGCACCATGAACGAGAACCGAGGCATGGACTTGTCAGCTATCGCGTTCATGGCAAGTGGCCAGAATTGGCAATTCTGATTCGAATTGGACCACTTGGAGAACGAGGCTGCTGAAGCGCATTCCCGAAGGCTGGACGGAGGAAGGGACAAAAATTTACCAGGAGTTGCTGCCGAGGCTTCGCTCTCTGATCTCCAGTAGCATGTGGAGGTCTGCCTTCGGCTGGAAAATGTGTGAGTATTGGTTTTGCAGCTCCGGGGTGGAGGATCAGCCCGTTTTCACCGTCTGCTGATCGACCAATCGGCTGCAGCTGCTATCGGTCGGTACGTGTTTTCTCGCTCTCTGACTCTCACGATGAAGGCTCCGGTTACATACGTTCATGCAAAAAACGCAAATTGGTGCTGTGCAATTCGCTGCTCGTGGTCTTTGTTGATCGTACGTCCGTGCAGTACGTGTGACTTTGTATTACAGCGTGATATCCTGCAGGCCATTGACTTCCTGTCCTCACGAATTCACGAGAGACTGACACATAGGAGTGCAACCTCGGATCTTCAACTAGATTCGGTGGGGAAAGTAGCTCACAAAGGGCGAAAAAACAGGAAATAGAAGTGTAATACATCGGGGTGACAGAAGCCTGCTGGAAGGCGCACGAGAACAGAGCAGAACAGGAAGGGTACTTGTCTGGAGAAGCAGACAGACAGAGAAGACGGCATCTCTTGTGTGTCAGAATCCAGAGCTATGGAGGCGATGACGGCGAACAGATGGGCTGGAAGTTTGAGCCAGAGAGTGGCCAAGTTAGTGCCCACGACGAGGAATGTGAGCATTGAGAAGGAGAATTTGGCTCATACCTTGCTGACCCACTTCGCCACGCTCTTGGACGCATTGGCTCTTCTTTTGAAGGACATGCAGAGGGATGCCGACGCTCGAAGCGCTGACTACAAGAACCTGCAGAACGGGAAGCTTGAGGAGCAGCTGGAAGGGTTAGAGAATTTTCTGGAATCTTATAGAGATAAATGTAATCTATACCTCCTGAGCAATTGTCCTCAGATCAGGAAGCGAGTCCAGGTGCGAATCCATTCATGAGAGCAGCAAAGTAGCATCACGTTAAGAAGGTGTTTTGATGATTATTTTCGACTCGTCGAATCGATTAGACTGAGTCATGAGTGTCGTTGAATTGAGAATTGGATGAGATGGGTGACCGGCCTTTGAGTCGAGTACGGTGCCTAGAGGTGGAGAAAGCGGGCGTTCCCAATTCGTCAGACTTCTATATCTCACTCGCTTTCACTGATGCAGATCTTCAGTAGAGCGCTGAGTGAGGCATTAGAATCCGTGATGCAAAATTCCTGGAGCACAGAGATGCAGTTACGCATAGCGCAGGTGAAGGAAGCGTTCGAGTCATCGTCCCCGAAACTGGACGCTAAGCAGCATGCCATCCTCGACTCCTTGGAGCCGGAGATGCTGGACTCTGTGGTAGCAGATTCTGCACGATGCACCAAGCTCGTGCAGCAAATCGCCGAGAGCTTCGAACTGAAATTGGACAGCGATCAGTTCGCCAAGGAGCTTAGTAAGCTCAAGGAGGACAAGGAGACCGTGGAGAATGCGAAAGGGAAAGCTCAAGCTCTCTATCTGGAGCAGTTCTTGACATTATTGGAAAAGGTCAGTCTCCTTCTCAACCACTGATCAGTATGCTCGAACCTCCTCCTGCAATCTGAATCTCATCCATCCGACAGCGTTTCAAAGCACGTCCCAAACTTCCGCAAGGTCATTGACTCGTCGTCATGATTCACACCTCAAGTCGGCTATGCTTTGTGATTCATGAACTATTAGTTTTAGTTGGATCGAGAAGAACTTCGAGGATGAGTTTGCGTAGTATTGGACAGGCTGCTTCCTCGATGTTGCACATCGTTTCCAATCGACTGTCTCTGGGGGAGTGAAATTCTTCTTCATCATGTTATTATTGGACAAACAGCCTCAGTTGGTTTTCTCTTTTCTTGTTATTACGCCCATGCTTGTCAAAAATGTAGAAGCCAGATGAAGAAATTCTCGGGATTCCTTCTTAATGAATTTGAAATGGGTAAAGGCTACTGCTGAGTTTCTCATGCGCTATCTTACTTGGATTTTCCCAATTATTTGGCGTTCGACGTGCCTCGTACAGGGCGTGGTGGCCAAGATCAAGCCTGCGAGTGAAGTGGGGGCTGTGCCCATGCCTCTAAGGAGGGAGTTGACGATGAGAAACGCGCCCCTAAACACTCCCCTTCAGTCTTTCATCTGCCCCATCACGCGAGATGTTATGCGGGACCCCGTGCAGATTGCATCGGGGCAGACTTTCGAGAGGGAAGCTATCGAGCGGTGGTTTGCCGAGGGCCACACTCGATGTCCCTTGGGAGTGGAGCTCAAAAGCACGAAGATGAAGTCCAACATTGCCCTCCGGCAGTCCATTGCAGAGTGGAAGGATAGGAACTTCACCATCAGAATCCAAGACGCAGAGGCCAATCTTCAGTCCACCAGTTTCGAGGATCAGGAAAAGGCAGTGCAGGAGTTGCAGAGAATGTGCGAGGAGTATAGCATGAACAAGTATACCATAGCCTCCAGAGGTCTGCTCCGACCCCTGGTGCGTTTGGCAGAGGAGCAAAGGGACCTCCGAACAAAAGTGTTTGCTGCTCTGCGTATCCTTGCGGAAGATAATGTGGAGAATCAGGTACATAGTCCGCCCTCCCACCTCTCCCTTTTCCAGATGGTTTATCGATGGTCCCGCGATCCACCGCCGGTTCAATCCTATTGAGAGATCATGGCCACACTTCCAGACCGTGCATAGCACATACTCGTTTTGGGTTCTCCAGGCATACCACGGCTTTGACCTCTGTCACTGCAATGGTTGTCAAGAACTGTAGAGTTTCCTTGTCCGCTGATATCGTGAGTCTCACATGGTATATTTGTTAAAATCGGAACCACTTGCTTTGACCCTGCAGGAAGTTATGGTGGAGGAAGGCCTCATCTACTTGTTGGTCAGATCTTTAGCCCGAAAGCCCGAAGCGTCACTGCAAGCGGTGCTTCTCTTGTCCATGCTGTCTAAAAGGCCGAGTTTCTCGGAGAAGATCAGTAATGCTCACGGTGCTGTCCTTCTGCTGGTAACGGAGCTTCACAACGAGAACGAGGAGATCGCCGAAAGTGTGAAGATAATACTCGAGAATTTGCCCACCAGTGATGAAAACATTGTCGTCATGGCAGAAGCTAATTTTATGAAGCCTCTTGTTACTCGGCTTGTGGAAGGTATTATATTCCTTTAACCCTCATTCGATAAACATAATTGGTGCTTGAAATTGAATCATAAGTGTTGATGGTTCGGAGGTGCGTGAGGATTGTGTGCGGAACTGAACCATGACTAGATAATTCCGAGCTCTGCAGGAGGGCCATCTTCAAGACTGGCTATGGCAAAGACTCTGGCAACCTTAGAAATGCCAGAAGAGAGCAAGAAGCAGGTGGCAACGGAAGAATCTATCTCGACTCTGCTGGAAATGGTTCAGTCGAATGACGAGGAAGAGAAACTATCAGCCGTAGAAGCTCTCGTTCAGCTGACCACTATAAGACAAGTCTGTGTACTAGTAGCGACAGCGAAGACCCCCGGCCCAAACGTAGGTTTCATCCGACCACCATCTTCTTTTGGTAGTTGACTTATATCAAAACGTTTTCGAAGAAAGTTGTTGCTCTGCATCATACGAATCTCGTAGTCCAGTATCTGTGACGTTCCGTTTTCTCAATCGGTACCAGGTTGAGACGAGGTTTACTTTTGGCCAGTGACACCTGGGATGTGTCACTGGCCAAAAGTGAGTCTATCAATTCGACTGGTCTATCAATTCTGGAAGTGAGTCTAATGCTGACATGATCTGTGTAATTTGGTGATAATTTATACAACATTGTCTGGCATGCGAGGCATTCCTGGCTTTCCGGTCCTGCATTTTATGATTAAAACTAGCAATTAACCAAATTCAGTGAACAGGACGATTCTTAACTACGTTCTTTAATGTTATTGCAGATACTGGTTCCATTGCTGAGCTCAGCGAAGGAGTCAGTAGGCTTGAGAAGTGCACTGGCCAACGTCATGGCAAATGTGATGACCTCATTGGCCGATCAGTGGGTGCCCGCGGAGGACAAGGAGGAGCAGATCCATACTCTGGTGTGCAAATTCCTGTCATTCTTCTTTCCCCCACAAGCTCAGTGTCATGTACTTCGCGGCCTCCTGGGCCTGCTTAAGGGCAAGGACACGGCCGACATTGCTGAGAAAATGTTGATGGAGAATAATGCTCTCACTCTTCTGGTCCCGATGCTGAAGACAAACGCAGTCGAACCCACTATCCGACAGCACGCAGTCCAGATCTTCGCTGCCCTGTCGGAAACGAACAGAGAGGCAGCAGCAGCCGTGCTTTTGAACGATGCCAGGGCTAACTTCAGCACCATTTTGTCCATGCTGCGGGACAGGAACGTGAGAATGGAGGACTCGAAGACAGTTCAGGAGCAAGTGGCAGCATTGGCCATTCTGGCCAACATGCCACTGGAGAATGACCTCGTCACCCTAAGCCTTTTACAAGCGGACTGCATACCCGTGCTGTTCAAATACCTGGACAGCAGACAGGGCCCAATACAGGACGAAGCAGCCGGTGCTCTGCTGCGCTTCACGGCTCCCACTGGGCCCAAAGACATGCAGCTGAACCTGGCGGAGCAGGGAGTGGTGCAATGGTACGTCAATTTGCTGAACTCTTCCCGGTCCTCGTCCAGAGAGAGGGCAGCGAGAGCACTGACCAACTTCTCGAAAAGCAGCGCCAAACTGTCCGTCGCCGTGACTCCCTCGGGGTTCTTCCACTGCTTCAGGCCCAATATCTCCACCTGCCCGATCCACAAGGGCATTTGCAGGGTCGAGAGCAACTTCTGCCTGAAGGAGGCGGATGCTGTGCCTCCGCTGCTGGCGGTGATAAAGGACGGGGATCCTTTGGCGGCAGAGGCCGCCATCGAGACCCTGCTCACTCTGGTGGACGACGATCTGCCGTCGTACGAGCCTGGAGCGCATCTCATCGCCAAGAGCAAGGGAGTTCCGATGCTGATCAACGTGCTGAACAATGGCACCACGGCCTCGCAGGAGATGGCGGTGCTTCTGTGCGAGATTATCTTCCGGTTGCCGGAGTACAGGGCACAGTACGGCTCCGCCCTGCAGATGCACGTGATCACCGTTGCACAGAAAGGGAGCAAGAAGGCGAAGCAACTTGCCGGCAAGGTCCTCAGGCAACTCGACCTCCTCCACAGCCAATCCCAATACTTCGCCCAGTCGCATCCCACTTTAGAGTAGACATCATTTGATCCTGTATACTGAGAAGCCATTACCTCCCAATTTTAGCTACCTTTTTGATAGAATAAAGCTGTCCAGTGCTGGTACGACTCCAAATCCTAGTCTGAAATCGAATCATGGCGTCCCTGCTCAGGACACTCGTGACTTGGACTCTGCAGCAGAGCGTATTCTAACAGTTGTGAAGAGGTCAGAACATCCTGAGTCAGACACATTCTATGCAACCTCACGCGAAAATGTTTTTCGTCCATTTGACCCGCTTCGAAAATTCTTCCGAGCCACGCGACAGAACTTGCACCGAAGAAGCTCGACGGTTCAATGCCTTTTTCGCTGCCTACCCCTGAGAAGAGAAGACTCTTGAGAGAGAGAGAGATAGAGAGAGATAGATGGTAGATGGTGGGGGAGATGGGGAATCTGAACGGCATGATCTTGATGGAATCCAGGGGCTTGTATCAAACGTAGCGAAGATCCAGGAGGTCACTCATTGTCTGTCCCAGTGTATATATGTAGATATGGGACTGACAGTATTTTCCCTTCAAGTCTACGATTGACTCAAATGTTAAGCCAAAACTTCTGTAATTAGGCCTGGGAAGCAACATACGTCAACCATAGATGATGTTTTAACTTTCCAAATTTTTAAACTTCTATACTTTCAATAAAAGCTGAAATCTTAAGTGGACATTGCTATGCACAAGTTCAGACTAAAACTCAGCGCGTTACATCACACACAGTGTGACAATGTAAGTACAGAGTTTTGGTCGAGTTGCATCGAATTCGTGTCATACTGGCAATGTAAGTACAGAGTTTTGGTCGAGTTCCATCGAATTCGTGTCATACTGGCTAAGATGTTGGTCCATCTCACACTTGCAGGAAGGGCCCAGAGAACGCCCAGAGAGCTGGGACACGCGCCAATGCAATCGATTATCTGGAGACACAAGTTCTTGTTGACGTAGCAATCTGCTGAAGGCAGTAAGGGATCGCTGTCCTTGGATCCTTCAGCTGTGCTCGCTCTTGTTGACTTAGCAATCTGCTGAAGGCTAGAACAACCGGACCGTATGCTTGTGGGCTGACGGCACACGATCAACGTCGTGACTGTCTCTCCTTCGTCACCGTCGCGTGAAGAGTTCAACCGCCCAACTCACCCTCTATTCAAATTAGACACATGATAACTCGTGTGAAACAAGTGTCGACAACCACATTACCCGCCCGTAACTCCCGCACATGATCTCCGTCACTTAATCACAAAGATCCATTTTCGAATGAATTTGACTCACCCTGTTGAAGTCTAACCTACTATTTTCACAGTTTCCAGAGACAAAAGTGATGCTTAAGGAGTACAAGGCTACCGAGTTGTGAGCTTTCTAAATGCTTTGCTCTTCTCGGGTTCCACTACTGGGTTTTTGATGCGCAAGGATTTGTTTGGCAGGTTATGTGCTTAAACGACGATGGAGCAGAAATAACATTGGGCCCACTCGGTTACTTTGCATTCAAATTCTTGATGCAGGAAATGGACATATACTAGAGGATTTGCTCCGTGAGCTGCTCTTGCATGTTTCTGTCCTTCCCTTCCTTGTGAGAGAAACGGTCTTACTGCATGCAATGAAATTTTGCATACAGCAATAGCTTCTTAAGACCGTGAGTAAATTTCAGAATGAATCAGCCCCACTTTCCTACCTGTATGTTCAGGATCCTTCCTTCATTGTCAACTAGTTATGTCATATTGTAAAGAGAGCTCTAGTTATATCATACTGAATTTTAGCATGACAGAGGTGTAGTCTTATGACCATGCAAGGATCCGACTACACTTCTTGGGAATTTGTTGGATTCCAAAATCAGTTGGACTTCTCCGCATCTTTGTTCTCCTATTTTGATTAACAACAGCATGGAAGCATTGCACTATGAAGATTTATCATGCAATCTCTCTACCCTGCTTTTGATCAGGTTGTGATATTTTGCGAGGAATAACAATAGTGGCTTAACATACATGGTGACAGTCACACTTGAATTTCAGTAGATAGGGCATGTCATCTAATCATCACACAGATCACAGACTATGAAAATATTCAAAGTGAAAATTCCAACAAAAAGATGAGAACGATTGCACAAACATGCCGAGGTTGCTTCATATGTCCGGTGCATTCATAGCCGAAGATGATATTCTCGGACTCAGAGTAAACTATGTACAAACTAGAAAGCTATGTGATACCGTAATAGCTATTGAAACATGCAAAAAGTAAAATTCAGAAGTCTTAAAAGTAGCAACATATCACTACAACTGACGAGTTCTTGAAGGTAATAATATGTGACAAGATGGATAAATCTTTATAAAGTTGGAAAGTACAAACTTCTAGACATAGAAAAAATGGCAAAATTTTAACTTCCCCTGAAATGTCTTCATAACGCCTCTTGAAATGTACTAGATAATTCTTAAAAACTTCAAAACAGAGAGACAATATAGATAACTCATCTTGTAAATATTGGTTGCTTGTAGAGAAATACAACTTACTCCACATATGATCTAGGTGTAGTATCTCAATGGAAACCATAATGTATCTGGATGACATCCATAAAAAACACCACGATTTATCTATTTCAATCATATTGTTGTCATGATTCACAGCTTTTACATGGAACATCTTTATGAAAGAGTAGCAAGAGTTGAAACTTAGAGCTCTAACTATATGGCAAAGGCAGATAATTGTAGACAAATCAGCATGTATTGACTGTCTTTCTAGATTATAGAAGGTTTAAACTTAGATCATGTAAGGAGTACTCAATATCATAATGCAAGGCATCAATCTTGCAAAGTGGTTGTACCAAACAGACCCGTTAGCTTCAACCAGAAACAACTAGAAGTGCCCAAAATTTGATCAAAGGATTTATTTTTAATTCAGTGAAAGGAGTTAAGCTTTAGAGAGTGTGACCAACAACAAATATAGAAACTTATATTCTATTCAGGAGCTTCTTGGAATTTGACAGAAAGCCACTAACCAATTCATTAAAGACAACATGATGATGCAAACTCCTTATAGTGCTGAGAGCAATGGCTTGAATTCCCTCCTCTTCGATTTTGTTCTATCTTTTATCTGTAAGTGATAAATCTTTCAGTCCAAACTTTCTGCATCTAGATTTGAAGAAGTGATTTCTTTCCATGAACACAAGATTTGATCTATGCTTGAACCACACCTGGTTAAGGAAGACATGGACCCAGGTTCAGAAGCTTAAAGTTAGAAGTAAACTTGTCCACAAACATTTTGTACTTGCCACAAGTAATGATTCTACAACTCACAAGATATAACTCGTGGAAAGATATGATTTGTTAAACTGTAATTTAAGTTACTCACACCTTTAGTGTCATAGAAATCACAACTGCGGACTCAGCTACCAATACTACATCAAGGTCATTCGTAGTGCAACGTGTACAATCTCCCTAGGATATAACCCGGTCACCAAAAAATTGTACACTTGGATCTAGAAGACGTGACATGGCTACAACATATGTACGTTCTCCCATGGTGTATACACTCATTTCCAACATCTTGCTGGTAGTATCCAAAAAATCATGTACAAAAGTAATCAATTTAATTCACATTGCAAGTGATTCAACCTATTTAGTCCATGATTGTAATCACATACATGGCATTCGACTCATTAAAACACCTCAAAATTGTAAATTGTGGAGAGAGAATAATACGTGCAAAGATGGTAAAATCTCTAAAGTACAAATCTATAAACAGAAAAAAAACAACAAAGTAAAGTTTTTGAACTTTTTGAGTGATGGTTTAGCTTTTTTGATTGTTGGGTATCTGATGGGTAGTTGTAACCATCTTTAGTTAGTTAGAATTAAAGTAGAGGTTACTCTAAATGTTGATATATATACTTTAGATTACACTAGTTATAGCTGCCACGTCAGCGATCCGCGCGCTTGGTAGGTGTAGAGTAGGTGTGTTAGTTGACAGCGTCACGTCAGTGATCATTGTGATTGTTAAGTAAAGATTGAGTCTGCTAGTTGGGAGCGACACGTCAGCAATCCGTGTGTTTGTTAGGGTTATCCGCCATGTCATCCATCCACTAGAAGTGGGATGAATGGTGGGGATAAGATCTTATCTCCTTATACTTGTTGGTGAGAACCATTGTTGGTATCTCACATCTTCAGTGTTTACGTTTCTATTTTCGAGTGAACTACTCTCTAAACTCTAGTGTTACAATGGTATCAGAACGATATTGTTCTTTCCTTGAATGTGGATTACCACTCATGAAATAACAAGTGAATAATGATGGAGTGCAATTTTGAGAGTGAATAGAGGCTGGCAGAGGTCATTGATCTGCATGTAGAGAGAGGTGGAAAGGAAAATTGTGGTTTTGTAGATATGAACGGGCTTGACAGGAATCCAGTACCGCATTGGCTAATTCCTAACTTATTCGATATTCATCTACGTTGCATGGAGAAACATCATTTTTGGATGTACTTTGTGGTTTGTTGGGGTGTAGATTTTATGACTAGAGTGATGGAGTCGAGAGTGCCACTAGTTCTTCCAATAGGTAGTTATAGAGAGAATTGATAATGTATCATAAACATTATATACTTAATGTTTTATGCATATGAATCGTGAACCACCCGTCCCGGTTCGGTTCAACACTTATGTAAAGATTAGAATAGTATACCGACTGAAGAGATTGTGGAGAGATTTTCTTGTGAAAAATTATGGAAAAGATTACTATAAAGCAGTGATAGAATCACCTATACCTTTTGTAGCTCATCTTTTGAGAGGTCAGATAGTGATTATACTCACTTTGTATTAGAGTGAGTGTGAGAAAACATGGCGACATCAATTGATATGGGTGAGGTTCTCAATGAAGATGATGGAGTTGAGAAAAGCGATCTTATTTTACGGATAAGTCTTTCACATGGTACACAACATGGTAGAGAATGCTTTCAAAACGAGGTGCTATCATTTCGAGGAATGGAATGCAGGAAGTACTTTTTCAAAATTCTCAAGCAATGTATTCTTTTCATACTGCAAGAATGAAATTGTGAAATTTGAAGCAGAAAGTAGGTATCTATTAGTTTATTGGAGAATTTTGTGATCTTCAAATATTATCATGGATATGAGTGAAGCAAAAGCCCAAGACGTGTTCAAACAAGGCTTGAAGGATCGAATTCGAAAGTAGTTGATGATAAGTAATTCATCCAAAGTGAATGAAGCAATCGCAATTGCTCAACAAATTTTGGGTGCTTTTGGTATCACACACGATGAACCAGTAAGCAATTTTCAATATTCATCTAGTCCTACGCCGATGAAATTGAAAAACCTGTGACGTAGAGAAGATTTTGCACCAACAAGAGAACCACCGCCAAAATTTGGAGGTGAGATTCGGTAACCAGAAATTCCAAATTTGTAACAAGGTTATACAAATAACGGAATGGTTCGAGGAAGAGTATGAATTTGTGATAATTGTCAATGCTATGTATGTGGACGAATGGGTCACATTTCCATGTTTTGCCAAATTCGACCGGCACCACAAGGAGGACGACCCATACAACGACAACTGTTCAACAACATGGAGTGGATAGAGTATAAAGAGGTTGAGGAAGAAGTTTTGAGAAATGAAGATCACCAATGAAAGTATGAAATGCTTTACTCACGACTAGAGGTCGGCCCGGCTTCGGCGAAGCCAGCTTGAGACTGGCTCGGCTACGACTTAGTCGGGCCGGCTCAGTCGACTCGACTCAGCCGACGTAGTCGAGCCGGGTTCGAGCCGGCTTCAGACCGGCTCGGCTACGACTTAGTCGAGCCGGCTTCTGTCATGGCGATCGGCTCCGAGTTGAGCCGGATCCATGTACTAACAGCTCCAGCCGAGCTGAACCGAGCCGGGCCGACCGCTACTCACGACTAGAAAACGAAGAAAAAACACTTGAAGATCTAGACAACGAAAAAAATTGGGGCCAAGTATAATAACTAGTTTTGTTATATGATATGTTCTAAACATGTACAGAATCAACTTTTGATGAACAAGAGCATATCTACTAGAACATATGTAAGCAAAAAATACAGACATATAAATGTTAGAAGTAGGATGAAATTTGGCTCTGAACTGTGAAAGAAACTTGATTTGATAACAATAATATTTTGGCATTAGAGTTTTAAAAAACACTACTGCCTCTAATACTTTCTTTTTTCCAAAATTATATCCATCTGGTGATTATGCCAAAGAGTAGGTTATATTGCTTGCCAAAGTGGTAAAAGTAACAATCATTAATAATATGAAAATTATAATGAGCAATGCAAAGGTACGTGTAGATTGATGTACATTGCTTTTCTCCACCCAATTTCAATTGTGACAAAGGTGACATTTATTCATAAAATGACATTTTTAATCAAGACTGTAGCGGTACGTGAAGATTGATGGATATTGCTTTTCTCGGCCAAATTTAGTTGTAGCAAGGCATTTATGAATGAAATGACACTTTTACTGAAAACTGTAGGGGGACGTGAAGATTGATGGAAATTGCTTTTCTCGTCAAAGTAGGAGAGGTACTTTAGAGTCGAAGTAAAGTCGGCGCTCAGTGACAGGTATTCGTGTAGCGAGGTGGCAGGTATGGTTTGAACTTAGAGGCAGGCCCAAGCAGCACCTGTCCGTGCCTATACAGTGAAAAATAACTATGGTTCAAAGAGCTTCAAATCAGAAGCATAATTTTACACACCAGGAGTAAAAAGCGAAGGTAATGGATGGGATCGAATGAAGGTTTGGACGAGTACGCAATCATTTCTTTGCCTGCGGTGGAGCAAAATATCACTTATCATTGATCGTTGAAAAACGCCTTAAATGATGATGATAAATAAAGCTAACCAATGATGAAAATTAAGGATGTGCAGAGAGTGAGAGTTACTTCTGACTTTGAAAGCACACCTTATATTTAGTAACCTATCACAAAATTTAGCAAAATTTAGTAGTCGTCTGGTCTCAGCATCCTAGGAAAGATGACGAGTCACAAAGTTCTTTGTCAAATAGGCCGACGCCTTCAAAAGAAATTGGGTGTCGAGCTTTGCGGTTAGTTTAAGGAGCCTTAGGTGGCTTACAAGTTCAAGTATTCATAGTATCATTGTAGAGCTGAAAGAATCCGTATTACATGTTCAAGCCAAGACATGAAGGGAGAATAAGATGGGATCTCCCATGTAGAATGCGAAGCATATAATGAGACGAGTGGATAAAATGACTCATGCCATTTGACCATACTCTAAGGATGGAAGGTTATCGATGTGCAAGAGAACACGCGATTAACGCATGACAAAGTAATGGAACACGCTAGCACCTGAACATTCAAAGTACGTCTATAGCAACTAAGCATCCCTGTAGAATTTGAAACTGAGAAGGAAGCTGCAATGTGATCTCCTCATCGTTCCTTCGGAGACATCCGATGAAATTGTAACGATACAGTGAAGATTAGCATGGCCCTGCGCAAGTACGACACGCACAAATCGAGAGTAAGCATAACAAGAGCAAGCTGGATCAGGTGATAAAAGTAAGCAGCAATGGTTCGTATAGGTCTGACAACATGTACATTGTCCAACAATGATGGAAAAGTCACAACTCGAATGATGGTAACCGAAGGAGCCCGTTGTGCTATAGATAATAGGGATCCCCCAAAGGATCACCCTCATGTATTTAGTCACTGGAAGGAAATCAATACCTCTACATTGTTGTTTGCCTGTGCAAATTGTACAGAGATGTACGTGCTGTACTAAATATTCTGATCTTGGACATTCTACTTGCTAAATGGTATCTTAGTTCGTGTAACTAGCTAAAGACTTTCTGAGTTTGATACACATTGAAATTACAAAGTTATTAGCAAACAGCATAACTACCCTGTCAAAGTCATCCACACAATTAAAACTTCTGATGGTAGTCGAACTCATCATACGTCAAATTCGCATCCAAATTGCTCAGCACATGTTTTAAGATTCAGGTGACAGGATATACTGTCCAGTTCACCCTTTTCAAAAACATGAATCGTCCATTCGAAAAGTTCACCTGAGCCAGACAGAAAACTCGTATTCAAAGAGTGTGTCGGATCAAATTGTGCAGTTTGTCAGCAGATTGTCAGCAAGCCTTATCCAAGTTGTGTGACGCTTAAGAGTGTGAGCTTTAAAACTAGCGCAATGGACTTGGCGGAAGGGAAGTAGGTTGGATGCTCATGGCCTCATTCAAAAACTTTGTTCTCTGTCCTTGGACCATGACTGGATTGGGTCTCTATTCATTATATGTTTTCTCTTCTGCTCATCATCATCGTGAACTTTGCTGTCAATTAAACAAAGATTCTGTAACCATAAGACTCTTTGGTCTCGTGGAAGAAACAGCGAGATCAGCGGTGAGAGGAAAACAAAAAGTAGTTGCCGCATGTCAGAATGAAACATCACGCAATATTTTCCACACGGGCTAAAACTAGGACTCTGAGGAGTTTTTTTTCCAAATCCGAAGATTAGAAAACATTCAGACATGTTTCCGTACTCGAAGGCCAACACCTTCTCGTCCACTCTTCACTTTTTGAGAGAGGGTCAGATCAATATCTTAGCAAGTTCTCAGAGAAGAGACTCCATGGCTCCGGATACATTGTCGACACCTACTTGGACTTCCTTGGGTCTCGACCACTCTTCACTTCTTGAGAGAGGGTTAGATCAATATCTTAGCAAGTTCTCAGAGAAGAGACTCCATGGCTCCGGATACATTGTCGACACCTACTTGGACTTCCTTGGGTCTCGACCACTCTTCACTTCTTGAGAGAGGGTTAGATCAATATCTTAGCAAGTTCTCAGAGAAGAGACTCCATGGCTCCGGATACATTGTCGACACCTACTTGGACTTCCTTGGGTCTCGACGGGAGGGTTCGCTGAATGACCTCATATCTTCCACACAGCGTGAGGCATACTGCACAATCCTTTCGCCACAGCAGTATGCGGCAATCAATCGAACAGTTTGACAGAATTCTCTCGGCGGGACTAAGTGAACAAGGCTTTATGTTTATCAGACACTTCAACGCAATCAAACAGTGCCTGTCCTCTTCTATAGATGAGATCAACGATTAAGAACAGTTTGTGTACTTTCACTCCATGCGCCTCCTCGCCAGAAAGTTTATGTCGGTGAACATGCACACTCGATTCTGATTTTAGATTCTAAAGGTTCTCTCCGTTATGGAGCAGATTCCCAAAATCTCAATTTTTTTTGTTGCTTGACTGTTGCTCTAGATACCAGACTACAGAAATATCAAGTAATATCGACCCCTCCAAAGGAGAATAGCCGCCTCCAGTCACCTGATCCTCCATGTTTGGCTTGACTAATGAAGAATGAGTTTTCCACTAGACAGGTATGGCGAAGCGTGGTAAAATCGGATGGAACAACCGTTGAGATGCATTATGGCTTGCTTTGCATGACTTGTTTCATTTATTCCATGATCCAGTTCATGCATTAGTTTCCGATTCGATCTCTTGGAAGACTAAAGTGTTATATATCAAAAGCAATGGGCACATGTCACTTCTCGCTAGTGATAGTGATGTGTATTCGCTCGGGAGTTCAAACGATCTAAGTGGAGGATATGGAATTGACTGTTCCACTGAATTACAGGACAGACGATGTAGCAAAACCTGAAACCTGTGTCAGTGTTGCTCACAGACTACTGTACTCCGTAAGAACTCCTGAGACATTATGATACAGTATAAACTGGTAGAGCGGCGATCGGAGGAAAGGCACATGATTTCTTTTCATGTCCCCGTATTGAGGTTCAGCCTGATCATGCACTACTATAATGAAGGGGAAGATATGCGATAAAACGTTATCCAGAGACAGATGGTGTTCTGACGCCGCGTTTGATAGAAACGCGGCGTAGGTAGAATGTTTTTTTCCATTGCATGACAAGAGGTATCTGACGATCGGAGGATCTGTATGTCTCAATGTACACCATGCTAAATTACTACTGGGCCGATCCCTCGACTACTAATATATATATATATATATATATATATATATGGGAAAAGTTAGTGTCTGATCTTCAGGTCACATGTTTCTCGTTCATCAACATGACGACAAAAGCACCCAGAGGCTACGGAGAGCATGAGATTCGCATCTTCCGTCGAGTGAGCATATAAAAGAAATTTCATTGTTCACAAGTAAGCAGAGATCGGCCTGATAGATCAAGATACGTCAGATATCCTCAGTTGTAAGCACACAATTCCTGGCAGCTCTCGGAGGCTTGTCATGTTCAGACTCATGTGTTCAAATTGTGAATTAAATCTGATTCAAATACTCGTCTTATAATAGGTTTGCAGCTGAAGTTGTAGCCGTCGTTGAACAATCCAGCATAGTTCGATGAGCTCATGCACTCAATGCTATCTACTATACTCACAAACTAACATGCAGAGTGATCGTAGGCAACGCCGCACACACACCTATCCTGCTCGGTCTCGAATGTGAACTGCAATTTGACCTGAGAGAACTTACTATGTCCTGAAGTCATATGGACCTTTCCTTTCTTGAATGCATAACCAATGTTTCGAACAGTGAGACTGTTTTCGAACTAGTTTAGTTGTTTAGTGCGTGAGAGGCCCCGGTCGTCGGATGATTGTGAGGCAAGCATGGCTAATGAGTGTTTCCGTTGGGTGTAAGCAGGTGAAAAATCATGGCAAGCAAGGCGACCATCTTGATTGTTGCTCTTCTCGGGCTCTGCTTGATCCTTGCGGATGCACGATGCACCAATTCAGATTGTGACCCGGGCAAGATCAAGAGTGTCACTGACGGTGGTGACGATAATGGTTTATCATGCATAAGAGATCGGACGACGGGCTGCAATCCCAGTCAGCATCCCCCATGCTGCGAGGGCTACTGTGAGAAGAGAGAGTTCTATGGACAGCCGTATACCATATGCACGGCTTGCCCGTACGCCGAGAACCCATATAGGTGCAAACAAGAGTCCCAGCACGAATGAAGTCATCGGAGGCCGTGATCTAGAGAGCATACGCTGAAGATGGAGCTGCCCTTGTGGGCACTGATGAGGTTCAGGTTTAGGATTCGAGGCGCACCTGCGGTACCGCAAGGCTTGCACAGTAGTCTAGCTGAAGGTTACTGGAGAGAAGAATGCTAAATGTAAGAAACGCTCACGACCAGTGTATACTCTTTTTCGAGGCATGAAAAGTACCGACCTCACCGAAGAATTTCCCGTTCCCTTAGTTTTTTTTATACTGTACGTCTGGATCTTTCGATTAGAGGATTGCTTTCGCCGAAGTTTGTCGAAGTCCAAATCTCATTGTATCGAACCGGAGTTATAAAATTACGAGCCGGTAAGAATAGGACGTGGAATGAAAGCTGTAACTGATTCTGTCGTTGTCGATGGGGGAAATAATCGGGAGAAATTATTTCAGCTTTTAAAGACGGCAAAGGGACGATTATATATTTAATATACTTTATATATTATTCTTATATTTGGCTCACAGTGGGGGAGAAGCGGTTCTCGAAATCGGGAAGACTAAGTGTATATCGGACCGAAATATTTGCAAGTTATATTGCAACAATTGCAGCCGCTTCGTCCTTGGCTCTGAATTGTCCAACAATATTCAAGCTTTGTATCTAAGTTTAGATGTTTTCTCTAGCAAAACCTCCTGCTAAACTAATGAATTACCAGGAATTAATGAATATGATGATAAACGGCTGAAAATTTAACACTAATCATCTTCCTCCTGTCAGTGCATATACTTGGCTGCGATGTAACAGATGTGCAGTGCAAGGAAATGGCCAAGCTAGCTTGCTCCGTCATTGCGAGTCGAAAGGTGTGTTCCAAGAAACTGAGCCAAAAAAGTTTAGACAATCTCGTCGAGGGCGTGAAATGCGAAACCCCGGGTGACGGTGAAGGTGAAATGCCTGGGTGACGATGACATAAGAACGATGTATGTTTGCCATCAGTCCGAATGACATACAGTTGGTGTTGATCTAGCCAAAAGAATGTAAGGAATTTATGTCCTTGGATCCTTCAGCTATACTTGCCTGTACATCTCAAGAAGAGTCGAAGACTTTTGCAAAGAGGACTGTTACACAATCAGGATCAGAGTCAATATTGTACATTATACTCTTACATTGAAGTTGGTAGACTCAGATTGGAGAAGGTGTTCAGAGATTTTGTCGCTCAATAAATCAGGTCACGCTCGTGGGATCGATAAATAAATTTTACATTGCCAAGTACCCCAAGATAAAGTCAAGTATGCATGTGATATTTCGTGGATAAATTTGGATGAAGTTCCATGACGAATGAGAAATGTTGTTCGTATCTAACTACTCAAAGCTAGCACGTCGCTAAAGCGGTGTTTCGCTCGTGCTTTCTTCGAAGGGTAGTCAAACCATTGATCCAATTGCACCAAAAAAATTGTAGATGCTCAGCCGAGTGCAGGCAAGCACTTAGTCGCATGCTTGAAGCCAATTCAAAACTCCTCGGGTGACGTCGTTCCATAAAATCGGGCGCGAAATATTTGACAAATGTACACAACCGGGACTCATCGGGTGATGTTCAAGCCATTGTATATTCCAGCAGCAAGCCACTTAGCGAGTCTGCCATCGACTGCTAGATTTGTCCCTATCATCCGAACGTGTAGCGAGGTGGCTAATGGTCTAACATGATGGATTAGAATGAATACACATCATACTTATATGGAAACAGTCACGACCACCATCTTATCTCATATGAATGACGGTGAAAGGCAATGGTACGGGGAAAGAGAGACTTGAAAAGCAATGAGAAGGAGCTCCGTTCATTAGAATATATGACAAGATCTACAAACTTGTTTATTTACAAAGGTCATTTTGCAAAACCTGTAGTGCAGAACTCCTTCAAAGTGGCATTTGCCACGTTTTTGTTTATTGTGGCATCTAACATTTCAGAAAAATGACGTTTGTATTGAATTTTTGTGGGTCAGCCGTGAAATCATAAAATATCGAGTTTATCTCATGACAAAGTCAGGCAGGGCTGTTTCTGCATTGTGGTTAACTTAGGTTCCTAACTTAGGTTCCGCACTCATGTTATGTTCACCGGACACCTTAATTCATCAATATTTAAAGAGAATTTATTTGAGTCTATGAACAGGGCGCATGATTATTCTCCGTGAGTAAACTCAAATCACAGAGCGCTAGTCCGCGGGAAGAAATGAATTAGAGGTTCCTGATCCAAGCGATGAGGATATCAGACTTCAACCTCATAGTGTCAACTGTATTCCTCTTCAAAGCCTCAGACTAAGATGACGAACATCAAGTGTCTTCAATCCTATGACCGGAAAGAAACTCAATTTGATGAAATAATATTTTGGCATTAGAGTTTAAAAAAACATTCGCGATATTTGTAATACTCTTTTCTTACTAAAATTATATCCATCAGGTGATTATGCCAAAGAATAGGTTACATTGTTTGCCAAAGTGGTAAAAGTAACATTTAATGAACAGTGTAGAGGGACGTGTATATTGATGGACATTGCTTTTCTCCACCCAATTTCAATCGTGACAAAGGTGACATTTATTAATAAAATGACACTTTTAATCAAGACTGTAGCGAGACGTGAAGATTGATGGATATTGCTTTTCTCGGCCAAATTTAGTTGTAGCAAGGCATTTATGAATGAAATGCCACTTTTACTGAAAACTGTAGGGGGAAGTGAACATTGATGGACATTGCTTTTCTCGTCAAAGTAGGAGAGGTACTTTAGAGTCGAAGCGCTCAGTGACACGTATTCGTGTAGCGAGGTGGCAGGTATGGTTTGAACTTCGAGGCAGGCCCAAGCAACACCTGTCCGTGCCTATACAGTGAAAAATAACTGTGGTTCAAAGGCTTCAAGTCAGAAGCATAATTTTACACACCAGGAGTAAAAAGCGAAGGTAAGGATGGGATCAAATGCAAAGTTTGGGACGAGTACGCAATCATTTCTTTGCCTGCGGTGGAGCAAAATATCACTTAACATTGATCGTTGAAAAACGCCTTATATGATGATAAAGAAATCTAACCAATGATGAAAATTAAGGATGTGGAGAGAGTGAGAGCTACTTCTGACTTTGAAAACAAACCTTAAATTTAGTAACCTATCACAAAATTCAGCAAAATTTAGTAGTCGTCTGGTCTCAGCATCCTAGGAAAGATGACGAGTCACAAAGTTCTTTGTCAAATAGGCCGACGCCTTCAAAAGAAATTGGGTGTCGAGCTTTGCGGTTAGTTTAAGGAGCCTTAGGTGGCTTACAAGTTCAAGTATTCATAGTATCATTGTAGAGCTGAAAGAATCCGTATTACATGTTCAAGCCAAGACATGAAGGGAGAATAAGATGGGATCTCCCATGTAGAATGCGAAGCATATAATGAGACAAGTGGATAAAATGACTCATGCCATTTGACCATACTCTAAGGATGGAAGGTCATCCATCGCGTGTTCTCACACGCGATTAACGTATGACAAAGTCATGGGAACACGCTAGCACCCCAACAATCACAGTACGTCTATAGCAACTAAGCATCCCTGTAGAATTTGAAACTGAGAAGGAAGCTGCAATGTGATCTCCTCATCGTCCCTTCGGAGACATCCGATAAAATTGGACGATACAATTTATCGGACGATACAGAGAAGATTAGCGATGCCCTTCGCAAGGATGACACGCACAAATCAATGTGAACTGGTAGAGCGTCGATCGGAGGAAAGGCACATGATTTCTTTTCATGTCGCCGTATTGAGGTTCAGCCTGATCATGCACAACTATAATGATGGGGAAGATATGCGATAAAACGTTATCCGGAGACAGATGGCGTTCTGACACCGCGAGATCTCTTGATAGAAACGCGGCGTAGGTTGAATGTTTTTTTCAATTGCATGACAAGAGGTGTCTAACGATCGGAGGATCTGGATGTCTCAATGTACACCATGCTGATTTACTACTGGGCCAGTCCCTCGACTACTAATATGTATGTATATATATATATATATATATATATATATATGGGAAAAGTTAGTGTCTGATCTTCAGGTCACATGTTTCTCGGTCATCAACATGACGACAAAAGCACCCAGAGGCGACGGAGAGCATGAGATTCGCATCTTCCCTCGAGTGAGCATATAAAGGAAATTTCATTGTTCAAAATTAAGCAGAGATCGGCCTACCAGCTCTCTCTACATCAAGTTACATCAGTTGTAAGCACACATTTCCTGGCAGCTCTCGGAGGCTTGTCATGTTCAGACTCATGTGTTCAAATTGTGAATCGAATCTGATTCAGATATTCGTCTTACAATAGGCCTGCAGCTGAATTTGTAGCCGTCGTAGAACAATTCAGCATGGTTCGATGCGCTCATGTAGTCAATGCTATCTACTATATCACAAACTGACATGCAGGCGATCGTAGGCAATGCCGCACACACACACCTATCCTGCTCGGTGTTGAATGTGAACTGTATATTGCACTGAGAGAAATTCCTACTTCCTGAAGGCATACGGACCTTTCCATTCTCGAATGCATAACCAATGTTTCGAAAAGTGAGACTGTTTTTCCAACTGGTTCAGTTGTTTAGAGGTTAGAGGCCCCGGTCGTCGGATGATTGTGAGGCAAGCATGGCTAATGAGTGTCTCCGTTGGGTGTAAACAGGTGAAAAATCATGGCAAGCAAGGCGACCATCTTGATTGTTGCTCTTCTCGGGCTCTGCTTGATCCTTGCGGATGCACGATGCACCAATTCAGATTGTGACCCGGGCAAGATCAAGAGTGTCACTGACGGTGGTGACGATAATGGTTTAACATGCTTAAGAGATGAGACGACGGGCTGCAATGCCAGTCAGCATCCCCCATGCTGCGAGGGCTACTGTGAGAAGAGAGTGTTCTATGGACATCCGTATACCATATGCACCAAATGCTTGTACGCCCAAAGCCCATATATGTGCGAACAAGCGTCCAAGCACGAATGAAATCAATCGGAGGCCGTGAGCTAGAGAGCATACGCTGAAGATGGAGCTGCACTTGTGGGCACTGATGAGGTTCAGGTTTAGGATTCGCGGCGCACCTGCTGGACCGCAAGGCTTGCACAGTAGTCTAGCTGAAGGTTACTGGAGAGAAGAATGCTGAATGTAAGAAACGCTCACGACCAGTGTATACTCTTTTTCGAGGCATGAAAAGTACCGACCTCACCGAAGAATTTCCCGTTCCGTTAGTTTTTTTTCATATTGTATGTCTGGATCCTTCGATTAGAGGACTGCTTTAACCGAAGTTTGTCGAAGTTTGAATCTCATCGTATGGAACCGGAGTTATGAAATTACGAGCTGGTAAGAATAGTACGTCGAAAGAAAGCTGGAAATTCTGTCGCGGTCGATGAAGGAAATAGTCGGGAGTAATCATTTCAGTTTTAAAAGACGGCAAAGGGATGATTATATTTCTAATATAGTTTATATATTATTTTTGTATTTAGCTCACAGTGGGGGTGAAGTGGCTCTCGAGATCGGGAAGATTAAAGTGTATTTCGGACCGAAATAATTGCAAGTTGTATTGTAACAATTGCAGCCGCTTCTTCCTTGGCTCTGAATTGTCCAGCAATATTCAAACTTTGTATCTAGGTTAAGATGTTTTTTCTAGTACCGATTCCTGCGAAAATAATGAATTAGTATGAGTGAATGTACATGGTGAGAAATGGCTGAAGACTTAATACTGGTCATCTTCCGCCTGTCAGTCTACATGCTTTGCTGCGATTCAACAGGTATCCAGTGCAAGGAAGTTCCCAACTCTCCATGAGCAGATTCCAAGTCTTTAGATACACCTTCAATCAGGACAAGTCCTCGCCGGCACTGCAAACCCAGAAGATTTACTGTTACCCGCAGTATATCGGCAATCGAGAGGGGAAGGCAGCTGCCCGGGGATGTTAAGAGATCTTAATGTAGTCCTATCAAGACTATACCTTCCAATTTCCTTTTCGTGGTTTGGAAACATCTTTTACACCCACCAAAAGAATTGTAATTTATCGATAGGGTCCTATCGGGTAAAGTGAAGCATGATAAATATCATGTACCAATTTAATTTCCGATTTGATCCTATGAAGTAGATACCTCCCACTTCCACCGTCATGATTTTGTAACATCTTTTACACCCACGAGAATAATTGTCTACTTCTTCGTTGCCGCTAGTCGACTTCACTTCAAAGTTTCAAATACAGATTATATCCTTCATGGTTTAAAAAGTAGAGAAGTTTGTAAGCATCATTTTTAAGAGAAATTCATGTCAATTGTCAAAGACCGCTTCAAATGAAAAGTATACATGCACACACATTCTTTCATGCAGATTCAACTATACGTAAGATTAAAAATATTCATAGTAAAGACTGTAACTTTTCTAAACAAACTTCATCTGAAAGAATGTCTACATGACTATTTATTTTTATAGTTAAAAAAATTGACTTCAGCCAGAGTGGAAAATGCTATTATCAAAGAAATAATAAGTGAGACCTTGCAAAAAAAGAGGAATAATTCACCTTTTACTTTTCCATGAAATCTTTATTGTGAAGAAAATCTAGGTACTTGCTTGCTAAAGAAGCTGAGCTAATAAGTGAAAATTTTGCATTCATTGTAAAAATGACCTTCGAAATCTTCAATGTTCTCGAATTGACCTTTGAACATGAATATATTGTGAAAAATAATATTTGAATATGTAAAGAAATGAAGATAATTGTATTTTTAAACTTTGAAGTGATCTTAACTATCATTCAGATGTGTTATATCTTTTCACTTTATAATTTTGGGTCCAATTTTCTAAAAATGAAAGTGTAGACAATCATGCTTTGATTGATACATGTAATATTGAAGAACGATACAAAATACACTAGAAAGATAACACTGAAAAATTTGAAGAAAAAAGAATTTATAAATTCAAATCTAAATGAATATTCCTCAATATTATAAGAAGATAAACTGTCACCACCACAGTTCATATCATTCCTTTTGAATCAATGATATTGCTTAAATTACTATCACAACCATTTTTGCTCTGAATTTATTATTCCATTTATGATGATGCTAGGATAAAAACATATTGAGGTAGATTTTTTTTTTATTTTCTCTTTTTTTTTATCCAATTTTATAAATTTAACCTATAAATCTAAGAATAAAAATTAGTATTACCATCATCTGACACATTTGTAGAGTGATGAATATATTCAAATTGACACAAATTGATTAAGTGTTGTTTCTAAGTAACGCATTCAAATCCACAACTTTCAAATATTTTTTAAAAATAAAATCAAAACTAATTTATTATATATTAAATAAACTTCAATAGTTTTCATTTCAATTTAGCGTCAACTAAGTAAGAGGATTAAGTATATGAAGTACATTTTCATCTTGATCTAGCATCTGAAATAAATATTTTATCTAGAATCTAATAAATCATTAATAGCTTTCACGCTAATTTGAAAATCAAAATTCGTCCTACTCTTGTAATCTTCTACTTGATAAATTTTGATCTTCATAAAATAATTGCAAGTAGATGTTCAACCTTTTTTTTCAAAGATTAATTTTTAACTCTTAATTATTTTTTAATCCTTTCCATATTTGAATTTCAGCTATTATTTCTTGATCAAAGTTTTGTATTCATCGTGGTTTTTTTCTCTATTTTTTTAGTAACCCAACCTAGCTTGATAGAATATATTTGTGAATATTTGTATACTTCCTTGATGATATCACATCTTCATTTATCTTTTGATAGATGACTTGAGCTCCACAGCTTTTCTTTCTAGATAAGTTGATCATGCGCAGAATTTAATACACTATTTGTTGATATATCATTTGCATCTCTAAAGAAATTTTAAGTAGATATATCTTTCAACCCTTACATATATTATTTAAAATTATTTGAAATTATTAGAAGGTTAGAAAATCTAAATATAAAATATAAAATATTTTCTTTCATTTCTGATGTCGAGTTAAGAGTAGGAAGTGGAAGAAATGAAGTAAATAAGAAATTAACTGAAGGGAAAATAAGTTTAGGAAACAAAAATTCAAGTCGTAGCCAAAAGTGATCGCGTGGCCTAATGGATAAGGCGCTCGCCTCCGGAGCGGGAGATTGTGGGTTCGAGTCCCACCGTGATCGGGTTTTGCAGATATTAGCCTATCGGAGATTTGAGCGTATCAGTTTTGGAGTATTATAGTTTTTTAAGTTTGGGCTCTAGCATGTTTTCTGATGCAGGTCTTACTGCTTCTTTTGTGGTTGACGGCACTTTAAGTGATCCTGGTCAGGGCCATAAAACTCCAGTTGCAGATATTAGCCTATCGGGTTTTGCAGATATTAGCCTATCGGAGATTTGAGCGTATCAGTTTTGGAGTATTATAGTTTTTTAAGTTTGGGCTCTAGCATGTTTTCTGATGCAGGTCTTACTGCTTCTTTTGTGGTTGACGGCACTTTAAGTGATCCTGGTCAGGGCCATAAAACTCCAGTTGCAGATATTAGCCTATCGGAGATTTGAGCGTATCAGTTTTGGAGTATTATAGTTTTTTAAGTTTGGGCTCTAGCATGTTTTCTGATGCAGGTCTTACTGCTTCTTTTGAGGTTGACGGCACTTTAAGTGATCCTGGTCAGGGCCATATAACTCCAGTTGATCGTCGTTTACCACATGATAACGCAAGATAGAGTTAGGACCGTCTTTTTAGTTCATTCATAAGAAGCAGTATACAGGAGTCGGAATGTCTGCAGGACTATAGTCGACTTTTAAATTGAAGCTATTGCTCTGGAGTTGGAGGTCAGTTTTGTGTTTTTTCTTAGAAATCTACTTCATCAAACTTTGCGAGTGCAACAATCACTTGGTTTCCTTTCATGTTCTGGGAGTCACCTTATTCTCCATCTGGCATCAAAACCTAGATGTACACACCCTTCCGCAGTGAGGTGTCGATAAGCAACCTAGGTCACCATCCAACACGATCCAGCTTTGAATTTTGGTGAATTTTGGTCACATGGGTGGAGTGAACAAAGTGAGTTTTGAAATTCAATGAAAATATGTAAGCTTATACTTTGCACATATGAATTGAATTTTTGACTGAATTGATGATTGAATAAGTAATCGATTTTCTTAAAGAAAAAACCCGATTCTTTTCAATGTAATAGAATATTATTGGTTTTGATGATATATAAACCCATTCATCATTTAACGTAACCGAACACATTGGACTAGACAACGCTCCAAGATTGTCAGCAATCTTTTTCTTTCATTTAATCAAGATATGATGAATTAAATATTGGATGCAATTTTTTACAGTTCACTGATTATGAGCAGATCCACGAATCAACGAACCTTCAACGGGCTAAATTTCAGTGAACTTATTGTTAAAAAGATAGAATTTAGTTTAGGGTAATAGGGAATAAATTTCCATATTACTCTATTACCCGCAAAGGTAATTTTCATGAATTCTACTCATGAGACAACATCTAAAATCGAGATATAAATACTCCTTGAAAGCAGACATTCATTCCATCCATCCTTTACTTAGCACCCATTCACATGCCACTTGGCATGGAACTGGACATGTTGGAACTCTCTTCCACACGTGTGTGGGCACGACAGAGCAAGTTTTAGATTTACTGCTGTGGTGGAGTAAAGGTCTGTAGCTAAACATTGTATGAAAAACTGAACATTGCTGACTTCGAACCCCGAAGGTCAAGAAACGATTACAATTATCCCGAGGACTGTGCTCTAACCGCTTTTTAGGACAGATGTCCTCAATCATATTGATTCTTTGATCTCTTTAAAGCCATGGTAGGGACTGGAGGAAGGATTAGTCAGGTGAGGAAGTGTGGAAGATTCACACAATTGAAGACGGTGTACTCTACTTTTGCTCTGGTGGTGATTTTGGACATGAAAAGAGCTCAAAATTGCAGTGATCCAGAAGCAGGTTGGGTTCGAGTCGGCGGGTAGTTCTACCTCCGGAGTCCTCCTTCACATGCCTATTGTGTGGGACCTGGCTTTAATCTTGGGAATTCTTTAATTCTTTAATCTTTAATTCTGGGCTCGTTTCCCGTTGACACAAGCAAAGAAATGACTTTAGTAAACGTTTAAGAGCACAGAGTGAAAGGTTATAGCTTTGATTTGTCTGGAGAACGACGTTGACACTTGATGTGCGTCGTGTTGGACAAGGTGATCATTGGAAATACTTACATTTATATGAAATTGGAAAACTAATGATATCTTCTTGTGATATGCTGTGATCCTGTATATACCTCGAATTTGTCCACGTCTCGCACCATGAAATATCATGAAGATATTGTGACTGAGAGAACAGAATCGAGAATTACGATTGTTGCTACTGACCCGCCCTTGTTCTTAAGTGCAGTCGGAGGTTTCTCAGTTCGAAAGCATACACGGAAATTGAACGGTTCGTGAGTGCCTGCCTACTTTCATGATCCTCTGACAGCAGACTGATTATTCAGACTGCTATCTGTCACTTGATGGACAACATACTCTTCTGGTAAGGAAAAAACCACACTCCGATCCATTTCGTTGATTTTCAGCCTTCCACTGCAATTCCAATGATCACTTAGGTCTCAAAAGTGATCAAGGTATCTAGTCATCTCATAGGAAGCTCATGCTTGTAAAGAGAGTATGAGCAAAACGTTCACATCTAAAACCTGTGCATAATACGGACTCTTCTCAAGTTGAGAAGATGCAGTTCCCACTCTTTGATAAGACGGTCTACGTACACATACAAGAATGATATCAAGTCTCCACATGAGAACTGGAAGTAGAGTTCGTCAGTGTGATCACTGCTATAAGAAAAGGTTTTCAGTATAATGTCAACAGACGCTCCTGTATGCAGAAACAGCCTATGAAGAAAAAAGTCGGGCGAATCTATACAAACGCTCTCAGAGTTGGTGTAAAAGTCCACAGTTGATTTTCATCACTCAGGTCCTGCCATTCTGGTAACCATGTGAATCTCTTATCGTCATCCATTTCATTGGGCTTGTACACAAGCACTCTCGAGGAGATGTCATAAGCCATCTGATGCCTGTGAACGATGTAGAAGTTGTCACCTTCCACAAGGCACCTAAATGGGAAAAACTCTTTCCAGTAACTCTCCGGCTCCAAGTTATGGTAGAGGTCAACCAGATCTTCATCCATGAGTCTGATCTCAGCTCCCAAGTCCTCGATCTCAAGGTTGCCCATCGCTTCGTGACAATCTTCATCGGTCCAATCACACAAAATAACTTCCCCCATGTATCCAACCATGTGAAACTCGGGAGAGTAATCAGATAAGCCCGACTCCTGCAGAACATCCCAAGTCTCCAACAAGACGTTGAATCTCAGCAGCGCCCCATTGACTTTAGGACTTCTATGCCTCTCGTAGTGGATGAACCAGTATAGGTTATCTGCACACTGAACACCCCTTTTCCTGCATCTCCACTCTCCTTTCTTTAGTTTGACTCCGGATTCTTCGAGGTAGTTTTTCAATTTTGGCAGTCCTGGACACACCTTCCACAATCCTAGCTCAGAATCATATATAAGGGTTGGTTGTGGCACATCCTCTCGTATACCTGATACCACCACTTTGTAGTTTCCAGACTGTCGATCCACCACCATCCCGAACAAGATGTACTCAAAGGGAGTCTCATATATTGCCCCCTTGGGAAGTGTCGGTAGCAGGTCTATGGGCAGCCTTATCCCTCTCAACTGCTCGGACAGTGGGTTGTACACGACAAAGCAGTCTGGCGCTCTTCGGCTGCTAAAACACAGAAGACCACCATCTGCAGCTACTAAGGTATCAGCCTCGACGTTGTCCTTCACGGTGAAGGGGATGGGCGCTTCCTCCCATTCATTCGTTACCGTATTGTGGAATTTTAAATGCCACTTATTGAATCTCGCAACCTCTTTCCATTGCAAGTTAAACTGGTCCCCTGGGGGATTGTGACCAGGATGATGATAGAGGAGCACAGGTTTGCTAGACTCGCAGAGGAGAGCTAAGGGAGGAGCCTCGATCGTGGATTTCCACTGTTTGCAGACCTCCCGACAGCGCATGAGGCTCAGAACTGGCAGCTTTGCCAGAACCTTCCAAACAATTTCAGGAGGCAAATCAGGTATGTGCTTGCTGCAGTCCTCCTCCGTCCTTTGACGACTGGGTCCCTTCACCTTAATCTCCTCCTTGTATCCATGATCTAGGTATTCCATAGAAAGCCTCTGTTACTAACCTCCCCTTGAGACTCAAGATGTGCCCGAGGAAGTCTCCCAGATAGCCACTGAAACACGCACATGATCCCATAATTATAATGTACAAGCCCTGAAACTTCAGCTGATGGCTCCTACTCCGATATGTGTTTCGACAACATCGGAAATCAGGAACACAAGGTGTTTCTACGACTGATTGAAACTTATTGACTGACTTAACCGAAGGACATCTAAACATTAAATCTTGACAATCTGTGGGGGTAGACGGACCTCGGCCAACAATCAGACAACTGTATCAAAGCGCGATAAGAACTACCCTCATGCTGCAGGGACAAACATGTGGCTTATTACAAGCTTGGAACTGCATTTTGCGGCCATGTAATTTCACTGAAGGAGCTTTGGAGCTTTGGAGGAGAAGACTCCATATCACACAGCAGAAAAACAAGGAAGAGAAAGAGGATTTTATTAGATTTACAGGTCGATGCAATAGCTGATAATGAACTAACATATCTTCTCAGCAGAAGAAAAGGCATTCACTGCCAATGCAAAGCCGCGATACACAAGAATCGCGAAGTTTGATTCACATGGATCAAAACACTCGTTGATCGGTCAGAAAAACTGGCAGATGCGAGACCAGAAAGAAGTTCACTTAATTCCGACATATCTCTTCCTTCTGCCACTCGGTACCCACAGAACAGTCCTAGCAATGAGGCAAAGAGGCAACGAGGCAACGAAGCTGCTGTTGATTCTAATTTGGCCGGAAGTCTCTATGATCCACGCAAGGCCAGACGACTCTTGCAGGCTCTGTGAAAGGAGATGTCAAGTATGTGGGTCTAGGAGTGATATAGCCAGCAAATTGAACCATTGTCCCAACGTCTTGATGTCATCAAAGGACTCCCTGTTCATTGACCGAGCACAATGTCGACAAAAGTTTGCATAGACATTCGTCTGTGATCTATGTAGGGTGTCAGGAATTACTCAACCTACAGCCTGTAGGCAGAGATTGACAATAGATAGTGTTACCTCTTCGGTCTCCTCTTCCTCCACACGAGTCTAGGGCGGATGGGGAGGAGTATCATACCTGCACAAGAAGACGATGGCGATGGCTAAATGCGAGCAGCGATTTTGTCACTGGGCGGGTCATCAAAGAGAGAGGTGACGAACGTTGACCGCACCAGCTGAACCTGTGAGAATGCGTTTCCATACCATCTTCTGCTACACTTCGATTAATCCCTAACCACGAACGGCGCTGCTCGTCTAGCAACAGCTCTGAAATACACAATGTCGTGTATCAGCCCTCTGAAGGTTCAGGAGCAGAGCCGGGGGAAGAAGGGCTTTCGGATTGCTGAAAGACAGCCACCAGAATCAGTAGCGACGAACGTCGAAACCGCGCCGACCACCTGATCGACGAGCACACGGCGTTGTTGCAATTCCAGCCATCGAGAGCGGATCAAGAATTCCGGGGCCAATGAACGGCAAAGCGTTACCAGATCCAGTCCCACGCTTCCACAAGACGACAATGAATCATCGAAGCATTCGTTCGACGGCACCACAGCAGCGATCTGCACTCTAAAGGAGCCAGCACTAACTGCGGCTTTTCACGCTTGCCATCCGCGGAGATCAAATGTGCTTCTTCCTCTCCTCTTTGCTCCGCGCAGAACAGGGGGCCGTTTCATTTGTTTACCATTCCCTCGTGCTGTCCAATCCACCGGAGGATGGTCCGCTGGACGGAGTGGACCACGATGCGCGAAGAGGCGGTGTCTACCGGCCTCTTGAATCATCATAATGTCTGCGAGCCCCACCGCATCGGACCCGAACCCCAACCCAGATGATCCCGAGTGATCCTTGCACGGAACAAACATACGCTTGAGCTCTGACCGACTGTGGGATGTAATGAGTACAGTCGCATGGGTGTTGTTGTTTTGGTTGCCGCTAGCTGGGAACCATTGGTGTCGGTCTCAGCTCCAAGATTGTTAACCTCCTCGTGTGGTTGGAGAGCGAGCAGCTAGCCTCCGAAGTAGTCTCTTCCATACTTTTATAGCTTTTGTTAATGTGCTCGCATCGTCTACTGTGTCGACGCTCGATGATTATTGACCTTCATTCAACTTTGCGTCTTCCTTTCAGTGGGAAGGCGCATTATTGGTTGCACTTTGTCAAACTCGAAATTCAGGACCAGTCGGATAAGTGAGTGATTACAATTATGTTCTCCGCTTCGTTTCAAGAATTGAGCTTGCTTCTTTTCTTGGCCAAGCTGGGGAGCTGGAGATGGTTAGGAAGTGGCTTTTAGGATGAGGCGCATGGGCAGCGAGTGAGAATCCACAACGCATATTCGCAGCGAATCGTGCTCTCCGCTGGGCTATGGGACAACAGCAACCCGATTGAGAATTGTGGGGATAATGGTGGGGCCGGTTTCTCATTATAAAATTCGACTAGAGACGGGAACTTTCCGTGTAGTCTTGACTCGAGTGATAGTGCTCACGGGGAGCAGCTTTGACAGTACATACAACCTTGCATTTGCACATATCGGCCCATGATTGCTGTTCTACCTCGGGAAATATCTCGTCCCCCATCTAGAGTCCATTTTACGGTTGAAGTCGGATTTGTTTCCGCTTTGGACTCCTCCTGATCTTCTTCGATTTCGAGTTTGTCGATCAATGTATGTGTGTGCATGTATGTGGTGCAGCGCAAAAGCCCCCGCTCCAGAAGGACCCGAACAAAGATTCCGGCGGCTCCGGATGCTACAGCTTCGAACGTGGCCGCCTCTCGGTTGGCGATAAAGCAATGTTGCGGTTCTGGGAAGGGAGCAGTTTCGGGTGCTTACACAAAAGCTTTCAAGGTTGGGGTGAAGGTCCACAGCAGATTGTCGTCTCGGAGATCCTCCCAAGGTGGTAACCACGAGAATTTTTTGCCGGAGGGCTCAGACGGTCTGTAAACCAGCACTCGGGGAATGTGGCAGTCCAGATGATGCACGTGGACGATGTAGAAGGTCCCACCTTCCGCCAGGCACTTGATGGGCAAGAATTGCTTCCAGAACTTCTCGGGCTCGGCATTGTGGTACAGAGACACCAGGCCGTAATCCATGAGCTTGATCTCGTCGCCCAAGTTCTCGATCTCCAGGTGACCTACCCCTCGGTAGCAGTTGCTGTCGTTCCAATTCACCATGATCACATCTCCCTTGTGCACGGCCATGTGAAACTCCGGGAGCACGCACTGACTGAGCCCCGACTCCATGAGAACCTCCCACACCTGCGACTCGACGTTGTACTTGAGCAGTGCCCCGCTTTTCGGATGCATGCGCCTCTCGTACTGGATGAACCAGTACAGATTTCCTCCACACTGAACCCCTCGCTTCTTGCGCCTCCACTCTCCTATCCTCATCTTCCCTCCGAACACTCCGTTGTTGTCCACGCCCTGCTCCCCCGTCGAAGCCTGCCAGCTCCCTGTTCGAGAGTCGAAAGTGAACGTGGGTTGGGGAATCTCCAAGGCCAGCCCAGATACGACCACCTTGTAGCAGCCCGTGTTACGATCTACCACCATTCCCAGCAAGAAGCACTCGAATGGATTTCCCCTGTGATCTTCCGAGAAAACTGTGGGCAGGAAGCTCGCCGGGAGCGAGATCTGTCTCCACTGCTGGGACAGAGGATTGTACACCACGATAGAGTTTGGGCTTCTCTTGCTGCTGAAGCACAGAAGCCCTCCGTCTGCAGCTAGCAAGGTGTCGGGTTCGACGTTGTCATTTCCTACGGCGAATGGGAGGTGGTGCGTCTCCCATTTGTTTGAGACCGTGTTGTGGAATTTGAGATGCCATTTTCGGGTACCTGCTGCAGCTGCCAATTTCCTTCCCAAGCAAGAGCCCTCCTTCGGTGAGCTGTGGCCTGGGTGGTGATACAAGAGTACGGGCTTGGACGACTGGAACTGGAGAGCTAGTGAGGGAGTCTCGATGGTGGATTTCCATTGCTTGCAAACTTCTCGACATCGCATTATCGTCACCGTTTGGAGCTTGCTCAGGATCTTCCAGATAATTTCGGGGGGCAGGTACGGTATGTGCTTGCTGTTGTGCTCCTTCTCCATCCTTCCAGTACTGCAGCCTCTGTCCATGGTCTCGTCCATTCTCCAGCGGATACCAGTCATCCCCACCCACATTAACCTCTCTCAGCTCATGACTTCCTCTCGGGATGCGGTCCGCCCGTCCTTTGAACCAGCTGATACAAGCAGTCACATTGTCAATTGCGAACAATCGATATCAACGGTCAACTTCCCCAACATGCTCGAGGGTGACTGGTGAGAAGGAATCGTCATTTTATTTCAAGGCATTACTTAATTGAAGCTCTATCTAAGGGGAAAACAGATATGCAGCAACTGGAATCGGATTCCGATCAACTTCCTACACACGGTTGTACCTTGCGTGACACGAAGACTTGACTTCAAAAACCCATCACTGTACGCACATTGGACGAACCCACTGAGCACATCAAGTCACCAGTGCCTACGGAGTGTGGGTCTGCTTGGCATTATGCGTGCTTTGAGAGCACAGGGATCGTCTCTTCTTGTGATTGTTTAAAACTTAAACTGTGCTCTCAGTAAATGTGCTAACCAATGAAAGAGAGTGGAAGCAAACGTGCTATCTCTACATCTCTCCGTGGCTCTCTCGAACAATTACAAGAAGAATTAGATTCTGTTTCTTCGCATACTATGGGGATTGAGCGCGTACTAGAGGAGGGAGGGACGTTGAATTGCGAGTTCTGAGCTGAAAGGTACGACTTCTCCTACCTTTGATAGAAGACATTGATGGGCACTTCTTCCAACCTCGAAATTGTTCGAAGGCCTGAGCTCAAGGAGGCACTGGGAATTTTCTGCTGACGGCCAAGACTGGCATTAGAACGCACGAGTAATCAATAACGCACCAATATGGGATTCAGTCTCCAATCATCGGAGGCGGTACATACTTGAACACTTTATAGATTGTCCGAGCTCCAAAGAAAGTGATTCGTCTGCAGGCTTACTCCGTTCGTTGAACCTTGAAGAGCAGACGAGATGCGATAACAAGATCCCCACCGCCTTTCACCATTTACCCAGCTCCAAAAGCCCCAATTTGAAGCGGATGACAGTGAAGGAAACCCGGAGTCTTCAAGAGAAGAAGAAAAGGAGCATGAAGATAAATATGAGCAGGTCCTCCTCCATCTTGAACGATAGATGTAGAGATTGACCTTCTTGCTTTCGACGAGGGCAACCGAGGCAGCGACGACGACGGTGGCATGGAGGCCAAATCTGCTCGTTACGTGGGCATCTGAACCGTCGAAAACCACGTGCAGGGAGACAGCTCTAATTTGCAGTCTGGAGGTAGACGATTGACCTTCCCCGCTGCGACATGGGAGCCGTGAACCAGAAGTTCCTCATGAGATGGGCTTCGGAAGCATGAATATATCCCGGCTAAGTAAACCTTCGTTCGCAATGTATAAGTAGACACGCAAATCTGCCCTTTCCCTTGCCAATGTGGCGAACAGCACCTGAAGTACACCTGAAGGGAGTTGCGGACCCCAAATTGCTCCAGACGTACAGCTTTCGGAACACCGAAATCTTGAGGACTTCTGGTTGAGAGCAAGTTCGGATGTCGTCACAGACACCCACCGTGTTCCATGCGGGCCATTGTGAGCATATTTTTTTGTCATATTTGCCGAAAATAATGCTTTTATTCCATCACCAAACAGGGCTTTTGCCCTCTGGCTACACCACGCAGTGAGAGCCATATGCCTGAACCCCGTATAATTTATGATCGCTTTTGAGAGATCATTCAGTTTCCAATTTTACACCTGGCTCGATGGGATTTCACTGACGAGTAAGCTGCGCAAGGCAGTCGGTTACTGCTTGCCCATTTGCTGACAATGCTAGACTGCCAGCGGGCAATTCGAGCTGTGAATGTCTGAATACTGGAGTGCATTTCGAAGTGCTGGAATTAGAGAAAGCCGGTCCCTTGTCTGAGTTGGACTCCAGATTTAGTCTCTTTCAGGAGATATGGAAGCGAACCTTTCCCTGTGAAGATTTGTCAAGACTGGACTTTCGGACTTTCTTTCACGCTTGAAGAGACAGAGCAGACCAGAACATACGGTACCGTAAGAGTGAATGATGGAGCCCTACTTGTGGATGGCGAGCACTTTTTCCAAGTTCTTAGTGGCCTTTCCTGGTCATATGCAGACAAGCATCGTTCCAATACCTTGTTCTAGCGATGTCCGTTTGAAGGGCCAAAAGTCAATTTGCTCCAGTGATAGTTCTCTCCCGTTCATTGCTTACCAAGTGGAATATGCTCAGACAAAATCGAATCGCTCTCGGACTGATTCATCCATTGTACAGTTGATGGCCTTCTTGCAAATTTTCCTCTGTTTGACCGCATTGAAGATCTTCATCTGATAGGAAGCAAGTGCTTGACGTGGATCAGAAACTCCTGGCTGGGCTGAGACCTAATTCCGAGAAGACGAGAATGAATCTCCTCGTCCACCGTCGAAAATCAGAGGAGTTGTAGATGCACTCAAAATCCGGGGGACATAACAATATTAAATAACAAACGAAAATACACCGGGCGGCTTTACAGGAGTGACGAAAGAAGCAAATTATTACGTTCAATAAAGCCAAGAATCTCTCGTGGACGTGACAGATCTACGTCCAATTTTTCGTAATGACATGCGATGGTGATATTACGGAATCCAGACTGACGTGGACGCCACTGGTCACAGGTTCACCAGGAACGAAAAGTCCAATCTTCCCATACATACATGCAAGATGATCCTCATCTTGTAAACAACCTCAGCTCCAAGCGGAGGAAAATTACAATACTGGCTCCAGACTCTGTGCAGATCAGATGTGTGGGATCAGAGCTCAAGAGTAGACGGAACTCGTAGAACAAAACAGTAATGACGCGACTTCCCCAAGTCCAGCAACTAGTCTGATGCCATGAACACCTACTTCCGGTGCCAAGGCCGAGGAAAGATCTGGACAAAGACGAAGCCCTGCGTGGGTTCGTGAACCCTTCCACTTTGTGCGGTCCCTAAGAATGGAAGTGGACTTGGGAAAGCGGAAGAGGCATGGAAGGAAACCCTAGAGCACCGTAGGCAATGACGACGAGAGCACCAAGAAATCATCCAGCGGAAGGCAGTTTTCGTTCGCGTCTGCTGTTGCCCTAACTCTAACTACGACAGTCCCTCGTGCTACTACAACCACAAACTGGGTTCTGGATTCTGGCCCCAGTCCAGTTGCAACACAGTAGAGGCCAGCGAGTGACAGAAGGAGAAAGAGGGCAGCGGAAGTGGCTGAACGGGGAGAGGAGGAAGGGAAGGGCGAGGGAGGGAGGCCAGGGGAAACGAGCACCCACTTCCGACGACGACACGCGCAGGAGACAGGCTCTATCGATTTAGTCAGTGATCGATCGTGGAAATTAGGAGCTGGGTTGGTCGCTTGGGTGTACTGCGCGGCACTAGCAGCAGCAGCAGGTTGGTGGGTGGACGAGGAGATTCGGGAGCGGAAGCGAGGTGGTGATCGGATCGCAATTGGGTCACGATGCTGGCTGCTTTGCGATCTTCTGCTGCTGTCGTGCGCACCAGTTTGCTGCAACATTGTCGAGTGAGCGTGGTCGCCACCACTTACAGGGGAGCTCCGGAAGGTAGAATTGGCTTTGCCAGTGACGCTTCGTCAAACCAGCCTCATGCGACGTATTTGGATAAGACTGAGGTCACCGACCGCGTGCTTGCTTTAGTCAAGAAAATGGAAAAAGTCGATCCCGCCAAGGTCAGTTTCGGAGATTCTTCGATGGGTGTGATGTGTCTGATGCAATTTTGATTGGTGTTTCATCTTTTGATTGATTGGATTAGATTAGATCAGATCATATTGGATGAGGACGGCACAGCTAGATTCTGAGTTTGAAGGCTGCTTTCGCCTCTACCTTCCGAGAAAGGTCGTCGCAGATGAACTGAATGGTTCTTCAGGAGCATGCGCTTAGAATTCAGTTTGCAACTATTTCTCGCCACCTCTTCCTCACGTTTTCTTTGCCTACGAATTGGCACTCTGTGTGGTGATTTGTCGACCCGTTCATCCTTCTTAGCTGGACAGAACGCGAAGACTTTAGATTTCTGTATCGATTATCATAGAGGTTGGGTGTACATCAGGGAGATCCATACAATTCGAGAACTCGTGCATTCCAAGTCATTTAGAATTTTATCTAGGTCATGCCATCAACGACTGTATTCTCTTCTGCTGAGGTTTATCTGGTTAGGGTTTTACTGGGCTTTAAGCACCACATTCTCCAGTCCTTAGAGAAAGGTAGGCTTTGCCGAGTTCTTTCCTCTTCTGACTGAGACAGTCATATGCTGCTCGTGAAAAATGATACGTCTTCTCTTTCATTAATCTTTTATGATTTGTATGTGATGCTTGTTCCTGTTTTCAGGTGGAGCCCACTTCTCACTTTCAAAATGATCTCGGACTAGACAGTCTGGACACTGTAGAAATTGTGATGGCTTTTGAGGAAGAATTCCATATCGAGATTCCAGACAGCGAAGCAGACAAGATCTTTTCATGCCAGGACGCAATTCAGTACATTGCTTCTCAGCCGCGAGCCAAGTAGATTCGTATGAATCTGATCCAAAAATTATGTCTCTTTACCAGTAATAATACTTTTCAACAGATGCAAATTCCGTGCAATATCTTCTGTTGATACCTTCAGAGCAAGTTTTGAAACTAACAAGTAGAGTCCCTTCATCAGGGTGTATTTAAGATTGACTCACGATCCTCGTTTTAATACCAGAACCCCAATTTTGTGTCTCAATCTGCTTGTTATTTTGGTCGGTTGGTTCACGATTCCGTTTCATATTGCAAATTAGGGCTGGGAAGCGGGTGTACAGGCGGCATCGAGAGCAGACTGTTTGTTGACTGAAGCCAATCACTTGATTCATGTTTAACCTTTGCTAAGGGTCACAGGCGGGTACCTGTAATTTAGAAGCTCAACCCCAGCAGCAGTTGTATATCGAACAATTGATTGAATCAAAAAAACATACTACCTTATCGAATTGTGGTGGATTTTATGGACACATGGATGCAACTCATCGTATGGCCCTCTCAGCTCCGTCAATGCCTCCACCTTACTTTCCATAACGATCAGCAGTTGTTGACTTCGTGGCTGTAACGTTTCGGATTTACCGGTATGAGCCAATGTTTCTGAAGCTGTCAGCTGTTCACAAGTGTTCGTATGTCCTACCTATGCAAAATAGTGTCAAATATCATGCACCCTACACACAGGTGTCACCACAGTGGAGTGTCCCTTGACTCCAAAGTTGTAACTACTGGTCTCTTTGGCTTCTCTCGTGTAGGTCAGTTGACACGAAACACAGTATCAGAGTTGAACTCATTACATCCATCAGCACACCGTGAAGCTGGTTAGCTCCAAGCACTGTCACTCCACATCTATTTTAACCCCCTGAAATGATCTTGCCTTTGTTCTGGACTGAAGCCTCTAGGTAGTGTGCGCGCATGGTCTTTATGTAGTGAGTCATTCTGTCGTAGTCCTGTTGGCTGCCTTCACGCAGCAAGTCTCAGCAAGTGGAGTGCCCCTCAGTGCAACGGCAACTGCTAAAACATCGCAAGTGCTCGTTCGTCAGACCCTTGGGACCATTCTCGTTCACTGTAACCTTGCGTCTTGCCGTGGTAGGGGCGAACAGAAGAGGATCTTAATTTTACTATTTTTCGGCAGGCAACCCGCTAGAGAGTTACGAGCTCATTAGCGGCGAGGTTGTTGCCACGCAATTTACTTAACACGTATTACTCCTTGGAGAGCCCCCACAAGTAAATTTTTCATCGATGTCACAGCTTTCAAGCGGAAGCTTCATTATTGGAAAGTGATCGAAAGCTCGAGAACCGAATCCAGTTGATGCCGTGGGCCGGCCAGGGCACCAACCAACTCACTCTTGCCGAAAGAGTACGCCGCGTCTATTCCTGGCTACCGTATTTCTCGGTCCTCGTCGGATTCATCTCGGCCTGAAGAACAGAGTTCCGTTCAAGTTAAGATAAGGGTTCATGGTGATTGAGAAGCAGTGTAGTTTAAGTGTGGTAATGCATTCAAGGTTGGGTCCGTACTGGAGCTCAGGAGGACCACACCAGGACCTAGATTACACATGCGGCTGGCTATTTGTTAAGTTCTTCGATTCTCAAGTAAATGAAGTTTGAAGGGATGGCATCCTCGAGACTTGATTTGATGTTAGCACATGCTTTAAGCATTCATGACATTTATCAAGATGGGTATGCCTTGCACTTTGATGAGGTTTCGAACTCCTGGGACAGGATCGGCCAAAGTCACGTAGGAGTGTAACGACGTAAAGATGGTCCCGAGGATCGAAGACCTTGTAAAGAATACTTTGAAGGGCCACAAAAAATGTGCACGAAATGAACGTCCTTTCCGTAATTGGGTTTATGACAAAGCCGATCATGAGTCTTTTAGTGTTGCTCCTCTGAAAAAAATCTGTTGATAGGCTTCTAAAGGTTGCGCTTCAGTTTTTTCTCCCCTTACAAGACCTCGGAAAATCCACAGACACATGTAGCACAATTGCACATGTCACTGATACCCTGAAGATCAATGTCCTGAACATTGTTTCTACAGGAAAAGACTGTTTGGGTACGACGCCACCGTCCAGAGTACGTAGGAAGCAATATCTGGACACATACGGATAAATTCCGCGAAATGTCCTGTGTGACCTGTTTGCACAAGAGGGTGAAGAGCCTTGTCCTTCTGGTACATATTCTGTGAGCAAGAAACTTGAAGTTACACAAGACGGAGATGCGGTTGGCAGGAAATGGCCGGAATTGAGATGTTCATGTACGACAGACGGGGCTGGAACAGGGATTTGAGGTCTCAGCAGTGCCAAGAATGAGGAAGGTTGGAGGGAAAGAGAGAATGCATCAATGGAAGTAGCCGCCAATGCAGCTACAGATAGACAGCTCTGATGCTGCCTCATTTTCGGATGTTTGAAGAGAAACTTTGGCGAAGCTCGGAAGTTGGGGTCGCTCTCCTTGCGGATTCAGGACCCACTCGGTGTCTGTCTGACCCACTAGTGACAAGAAACAGCAAGAGTAATTGAGGTTTGGAGCTAATCTCCTGCCACCGCCAGCACCAACAGCTGTGAAGTCACAGCATATGCAATCATGGATGCACCCACATCGCCAACAACCTCGACCAGTGCACCTTCTTCGCCAGCCTCGTCATCTGCAGGGGGACCAGGAGCAGGACTCGCGGGAGGAGCAAGCAGCAGCGCGGATTCTGCATCGGCTGGAGGTGCTACTCCTGAACACACACCTCCTCGTCGACGCCTTGTGAAAGCTGCATCGTAAGCATTTCTCCCCCTTCCCTTCCTATGTCTCATCTTGGAAAATAGTCTCAATTTGCAACCATTGTTGTCCTTCCCTGTCTACGTCCGTTTGTATGAGCTGAACAAGAAGAAAGGATTTTCACATGGGGATGGAATGTCCGGGAAATGGAATATGCCGATGGCTTACTCTGTTAGAGCATTCACACTTTTTCCACTCTTGCTTCGTTTTCCGAACAAATTTATATTGCCTGGGCAAATCAAAATCGTAAAATCGTAAATCTTAAGGAACCTGAATGGTCGTCGTCATGACTAGCCTTGATTCATGTAGGATGTGATTCGTCGCAGTTATTCTTGAGGACATTTTCTGAATTGAAGTATTCCCGAGATGTACCCTAATTGAATGAATACATAAACGTGTAAGATGTTATGTTGTGTATTGCAGAGGGGCTCTAATAACGAGATGCCTTCTTGATATGCTTTAGAGTCGTTCATGGCTGATGGTCGGAAAATGTTTGGTTTTTTTTCTGAGCGTGCATAATCGTATGTTCCAGCGGTTGGATGAAATTGCATATCTTGGATGGTCGGTAAAATCGGAGTTCGGTAAAATGGGCTGATTTCTCACAATCTCCTTGCTGAAATGTCAGACGACACTTCGACGACCAGCAGCCGCCTAGGGTTAGTGCAAAACGGGAATCAGGTGGAATCGGTACAGGACCACCAGGATTTGCTTTTGAACGTTCCGGGTCCCCATCACCAGTGTCAACTGGAATTGGTGGAGGCCCGGCCAGTTCTTCATTGGGGGCCTCATCAGCATCCCCCAGCATTAGCGGCTCATTCAGAGATAGAGAGAGAACCGGAATTAGATCCTCATTGAAAGGTATGCCTTCTCCTTTGATGACATTCTTTAGTGTATCATTTAGCAATATGCTGCAGATTAATTGGCGGTGCTTTGATATTCAAATTCAATGAGCATATGCAGACTTTCGCAGCCTCATTGAAGGTCCAACTAGAATTGAACTTGTGCATGCATCTTTTCTACGTTACCGTGCCTTTTTTTGATTACTTGAATCACAGTTTTATGTTGTAGTTACTTAAGTTTTAGAATACTAGGTTTATGGCTTTTTCAGCCCGTTAGTTACAAAAAATATTCGTCTCGTACCTCTGAGAATAAAATTTGTCCATTAGTGCCGATGGATTCATGACTTTGAGCTTCAGTTATTAGGTAGTTCAAGTTGTGAAGAATTCCAACGCAATGCTGATGTTCCTCAGGTGATTTGCAAGGCGAGTATTCCATGAATTCTCCCCATGGACCTGCTGGAAGCTCCGGTCCGAGTAAAGTGGGAAGGTGAGAGACTTTTCTTTCCTATCAGCACTAGAGTAAAGTTCTTTACGTGACCTCATTTCCACTTCTGAATTTATTGATCATGAATATAACGTTGTGAAGGTAGATAGGGCCCTACAATAAACCAGAAATCAGGTGCTAGGGGGATCTTTAGTGTTGCATTATTCCGTGGTTGACTGTGATAACTGGAGTTTTTGTTTAATCTTCAAGTTTCATGTGAACTGTATCCCTTCTGGAAGATTCGTTCTGTTTCCAGTTTATCTTGAGTCATGAACCCTCAAATTATCGAGGATTTTATCATCCACATATCATGTCCGTTGTGGACTGAATTTATTGTTGGAACGGCAGAATTGGAAACATCTTGTCACTCTATTGGAATGAGCTTCTGACAGTACTTAGCAAGCCCTTGATGCAGAATCGAAGAGAGATACATATTTTTACAGAGTTATAAGAGAAGCATATTTAGTTCACCTCTTTTATCTTTATCAAGTCTTGAGTAGACGTACTGTACTGTTGTACACTCAACAACTCATGTCTTTACTTTGACCCTATGCAGAACACCTTTTGCAGCAAATCCAGGCGTAACTGATGCTCGACCTCTTGGACGGCGCCCAGAGGTATATCTCCAAGATACCTATATTGTGTAGAACTTGAATTAGTCTTCGGCCCCGTACTTAGAAAAAAAAATATGTGCTGCAGGAAGTCCTCGAGTATTTGAATGTAGCAACTTCCCTTCAGAAAATGCATTGCAGTTAAATTTGGTTGTGTCCATCAGGATGCGATACAGGCACTCAGGCATATTAACTATTTGAGGCTCACGAACACGGTAACGCAGGTAAATTTACGAAGACAACATGAAGCACCAAATGCCCAAAAGCATGCAGAGGATATGCGCATTCAACAAGCCAAGCGAGCAGCCCTAGTTCGGGCTCAAACAATGGGTGCACCAGGAAATTATCGAAGCTTTGATTCACAATTTGGCAACTATTTAGTTCCTGTTATACCTAATCAGTTTTTCAATAAGAATCCACCCACATCGCAGGCATCACCAGCTCTGCCATCTCAAGTGAATCAAAGCAGATAAGTTCTTCCGTGGACCGTGAGGTTGTCTGTACGCGTAATGATCGCTCACGGGCAGAATGAAGGTTCTTTTTGTAGTCAGAAGCTATTGCCACAGTATCATTACATCTTGAATGGACTTGCTCAAGAGTACTGGACCACGCGTCCAACCAGAGTGTCTACCAGAGTGTCTGAAGACAAATTCAAGACGATATACGCGAGACGTACGAGAAGTACGCTTCCCTTCATCAACCCGACGAGGGCTGCGTCTGGAATATCCCGAAATATACCGGATTGAAAATCGTCTGGTTCAGAGGCAAAAGAAGTGTTTTCCTCGAGCTTGAAAGAGGTGACGAAGAACATCAACTTTTTTTTATGAACTCACATTGTCAGCAGCCCGTGGTACCTTATGGCCGACCATCTATAAAAGCTGCAACTAAGATGGCCATGTAGGTCGAACAATGTGTGAAGCCAGTTTCACAGTTGAGGAAACATGCCATTGTTCACTGTCAGCCTCCGTCTGAAGGTTGCCGGACGAAAGAGCAAGACTAAGTCTGAATCTACAATTGCCTCTTCGATAGCCATTATCGTTGAGAACCCAAAGTGCCGATATTAATTTCGTGTCTATGGTAACACACGTCAATGAGGCCACTTACTTTTTATCAATGCCGCGAAGAGGTTGTAACATGAAAGAGGACTGGCAAAACTAGTTTCGAATGAGATGTTGCGACATACGAGCCGTAAGTATTAACCAATGAGTCATCAGTTGATGTTAATTAGTCAGTGATGACACTGTTGTAGGCGAAAGCTAACAGCTTTCGTTTTACGAACTCAAGTTTCTATTTACACATCTTCCCGTACTTTTTGCTACATTATCGGAGAAAGGGGGCAACATGGATATTTGCCACACTACTTGGTGATCCTACACCGAAAGTATCTTTGATGTGGACCTGCCGCGAAGAAATGTGTGGGGAACTTAAAGTGCAGTCATTTAAAATCTGGACTCATCGGAGAAATGTTCGTCACTCTTGAACAAGTCCAACTTGTCTTCAAGGAAAAGTTGGTCACGGCCTAACAGTATGTATTTAATATTCACTGAATTCTTCGCGCGAGAAGCGGTCTTCGGATTGTAAGGACTTTTCTAGAGTCTAATCGAAGATGTCTAATCCGTCTGATCTGATCCGTTCACCATGTGCGCGTCAACGTCTCGATTCGAGTCAGAGGACGATGACTCCTGGATGAGAGCTCAATGATTCCAGTTTAACTGGTGGCACTGTTGCTTGGGAGCGGTCGAGTTAGGCCTGGCACATACGAGGCAGTTCCAGGTCTGTTATGAGAGTCGGTACCCAGTTGGTTTCAAGCACTACAATGAGATGAAATGCAGTCGTAAAATCATATTATTCCAGGTTTATGTATGCACTGGATCAACAAATCTGATCACTGGATTACATTTCTCTAACATTCGATGTCCACATAAACTGCAAATTATATACAGTGGAACTCCAAGTAATAAAAGGCAAGTTTGCGCCATGAACATTCGCTGCTTTATCAGAGGATAATTTGTTGGTATTGTAACCTGCACACTTAGCAGTGCGGCTGACACATGAAACCGTGGAGAAGACTCTTCAGGAGACCTTAGCCCATTCTAAATGTAGCAAAACCCAAATCTGTCAGTACAGTTACGAAGCTATCCACTGCCTGACATATTACGACGATCCAAATTGTCACATCAGCCCTCCGGCAAAGGACGGAAATGGCTAAGCAGCATGAGTAGTCGAATCTAACAATGTTCCAGGAAACCTGGAAGGAACACGTACAAGAAGACGAGACGTTTGACATCAAACATCTAAATGAGGTTGTTGGAGTCCAAATATATAGCCCCGATGGCTGCTCCGACATGTAATATATTCTCTGGAGTAAATGTGAAGTTTTGTAGAACATCTTTCGAGGTACATTGCGGATTGCTTCAACGAGGCTCAAAGAATATTGTGCTCCAACGGTTTCCTTTTGACTGGAACTCTGACCTGATTTCCAGGGTTGTTATTGTCACATCCTTTTGACTACAAAAGGTCATTAACGTCAACGGCATCGTCAGCTCCGTTCGGAAGGTGCTTGTACATGACGCAAAGCTATTCGTCCATGAGCTCGAGTGTGAAGAAAGGGTCACCATTCAATTTCATTCTTCCGCAAAGGCTCAACAAAGTATGTGCGCAATCCCTTCTTTCACATCATCCGATCCGATCACCACTTCAGGCAGTGTATGATGATAACATTCGCCCCAGGGAGCGGGATCGAATGATGATCCAGGAGCAGGTCTGCGTTGCATGGCTGCTGTGATGATGACGATGATGATGGCGGTCCATGCCAATAAACGCCCATCTTCACACATCAAATATCTACGAAGCGTCCCTCACCAACGCAGGACATGTCGTCGACCTGCAGTCAGAAAAACAATATCAAACCTAGGATGCACGCTGAGGACTTTTCATAACAAAAATCGTCAATGCTTGCCCTTGGGACACATGGTGCCAGGCCTGTATAAAATCTTCTGACCGCATCTCGTCTTGGTCCGAGATAAACAGAAGAAAACACTTTGAGAAAAGAAAATTAATGTGCTCCCATCGCTAGAGACTACCCAGTCAAACCTAACATCTGAACGAGAGTTCTCTTCCATAACTGCACGTAAAGCGACCCAGGACCACCGCGACTGAAGAAAGTGAAGATAACCTGGAATTGCTCCGATCCTCCGAATTGCTCCGATTGTCATGTACTCAATGATTCGAAACAATGGATTCGTGAAGATACCGAAGCAAGTGGATTGAACATTGCTCATGCTTCACAAAATAGACGATGAATACCTTCATGGGGTTTTCAAACAGACTAGTGGCAACTAAGCACACCTTCAGGGTACTGAAAAATGTAAGATCAGGTCACGAAGTGTTAAAAAATAGCAACTAACACATACTAGCTAGGATATACTACACATTTATTATTGAGATGCTCTTGTACCCAGCCCCATGTTACGCTACGGGTTTCGTTTTATTTCCTTAGGTTTGATAGATTATTCCCATCCTTCTTGATTGTATCCATAGCTTGCTGTTTAGTACTACCCGTTTAGCACAAGACATCATATCCCTATAGGACAACAAACTTTCACGGTGAGAATTCTTGCCGGTAGAATAGCGAAGCGAGCAATAAGACTAATTTTGAATTTACTTGTTAGAGTTTCGTTGGTACTTTCAGCGTGAGCTTAAACTATTCACACAACATGAAGCTTTTTCACGTTTGAAGATGATGTGACAAATCACCTCTTAAATGTTGTTCCATCCATACCAATGGTTTATCTTGTACAAGAAACTCAAGCATGACATAGTGAATTAACAACACCCCATACAGTGGTAAAAAAAAAATAACCAAATTGCACAAACATGGAACACGGTACCTACTTAATGATGAGTATCATTTAATTTAATATATTCAGATTATCTATGCAAATGTTACAGGCTAAGTCATATCTTGATTAACTTTATTTAATTTAACCATGATTAGTTAGATTGAGTTAGTTGGCAGATTCCGATCAATGACACAAATTAGAGTTGTTAGTAAAAGACATTATGTGTTTTGTAGATTTAGACTGGGGTAAGCAATCATATCTTTTCTTTGCTAAGTGTGTTATATATGTTTGTCACCTTGAATACATATTAAGATTAAAACATGAAACAAACAAGTTGATTACTATATCAAGAATCTATTAATAAATTTTTTCATTATGACAGTTATATTGATTCATATAAGAATGGAATCATGCTATACAATGTACACTATATAACCATTTGAGTAACTTTATATCTCATCTACATTTAATGTGATACATTTTCATGCATTATCTCACAAGTATGTCAAGATTGTATTCTAAAGCTTTATATAACTTCAAAGCTAAGACATAAACAAATGTTTTGTTAAATGTTTCTTCTAGCTCTGTAGAAGACCGGGAAGAATTTGCCCTCACTATGTCATACAATAAGCTATAATTTTAATATTCTTGTATATTTATTGTGATAAATGTTTCAGAACATGTTATTTGACATCTTTGAGTAACTATAGTTGCATAGTTCCATATAATTATAGCTTAAAAAATTTTGTGGCAATCTGCATATTCCTTTATTTGAATCTTCCGTACTAAGAAAAAAATTTAAATTGTATTAAAAAAATCCATTCTAAAACTATTATCATATGTCGAAAATAGATTTATAATTATTTTTTATTATATTACTTTATATAAAAAACAAAATTATTTATTAGCAATACTATATTAAAAATATTAACATAAGAAATATTTTTATGAATTGTATCAAATGCATCTTACATATTATAATCTTAAAATTTAATTTTTAAGATTCGTTTACCTCCAAACAAATTAAAAAAGTGCAAAACTCAAGTGAAGTAAATATTGAGCAAAGGTTTTATTTAACGAAGTGTTTCATCTTATGGAGCTCCAATGTTATTTGTGAAGGAGAAAGATGGGATCATGCGGTTATACATTGATAAACATGGATTGAACAAGCAAACGCTAATTAACAGGTTTCAATACCTCGTATGGATAACTTGTTTGATCAACTTCAAGGAAGAAAATACTTCATCAAATTGAATCAAAAAATAGTAATTACCAAATTTAAATTGCGGATGAAGATATCAACAGAACTACTTTTTGTACAAGTTATGATCACTTTGAGTATTTAGTGATGACTTTTGATCTCACTAATGCAACTGTTATATTCATGATTTTGATGAACAATATTTGTTTTTCTAAATGAAATTTTGGTATACATCGAAACCTTGAGTGATCATATGCATCATTTACAAGATGTACTTCAAGTTTTGAGAGAAAATGAATTATATGCCAAAGATTCAAAATGTAAGCTTGGCGAGTAAAAAGTAAATTATTTTGGTCATGGAGTTAGAGAAAAAGATATACAAGTGATGAATGAGAAGATAGAATGTATTCAAAATTAAACAACACCAAAGTATCAATACCAACTTAAGAGCTTTCTAGCATTCAAAGATTTTATCATAAATTTCTGAAAGGTTTTACTCGTCTAGTTCAAGCTTTGACATCTATGCTAAGCAAACATCAAATATGTAAATGCATAACAACTCAAGATATAATTCTTTTGGCATTAAAAGATGCTGTAAACACACATCTATACTCAAGTGATACGATCCCAATTGATGTATTAAGTTGGCTATTGATGAATAAGGTACAATAATGGATTGCATTCGCTTACCAAAATGTAAGTATGAATGACATACAATTGCTTGTTTATTCCTCAAGTTGGTGGTAACTGAACATAATTATCACACAAAAGAAACAAGAGGAATTAGTCATTGTGTTGGAAAGAATACATCAATAGCACTACTTGTGTGATACAAAGTTTGTGATAGAGATCTATCATAAGTCATTGGTTTATCTAGAAATTCAGAAGTATCCATCTAAACAACAAATTTAAAGTGCAGAGTGACATCAGCACTTCAACATGAAGGTTGTTTATATGGAGAATAAGAATCAACTTGCGGATGTTCTCACATTCATGTCATGTCTTAATCAAGTTGCAAAAGTGAAGCTTCAAATTTGTTGATGAGATAAGATGATACATTTCATAAAGAATTATGAAGAAATCATGAGAATATTACAAGCTAGAAGCGTAAGGAGATTACAAATTTGGCATTTTACAAACAACATATATGAATTTCTCAAATGATTTTGTCAAAAAGTCATGCTATAGCTATTGCAGATCATGTGGGAGTGAAAATTACATTGAATAACATCTCACTAATGTACTATTGGCCTAAAATACAAGAAGATTTAAAGAATTATGTGAAGTTGTATAGCTTGTCACAAAACAAGACAAATAATTAAAAATTAACTAGTTTATTACAACCTTTATCCACTTTGAAACAACAATGATAACATGTTACAATAGTTATGATATTTGAATTACTAAAACTTATGTTACAAAATGATTCCCTTATAATTATTGTGGATAAGTTGAATAAGATGATGCACATCAAACAATGATTGCTTCACAACTTGTTCAATTGTAATTAGACGCAATTTTTATGAATCAGGAATTAATTAAAATCTTGATCACCGCAATTAACAATTTTGTCAAACATAAATCATAGAGTGTTACATCAACCAGAAAAAAAGTTGTTGATTACTCATAATCAACAAAAACAAAATGCAAGTGCTCATCATATGAAGTTAATATTTCAGATAGAGTATCATGTTTTATTATCTACAAAAAAACTTGTGTTTTGTAGAAAGACCAAAATTTAATTCTAGATTTATTGGTACTTTTGTGATATTGAAACGTATTGATGAAATGTCTTACAAGTTAAGACCTACGTCATTATGAATATACATTTTGTACTTCATGTGTCATGATTGCAAAAACATGTATCACAATCAAACAATTCACAAACCAACAAATATTAACTTTTCTACCAACTTTGATAACTGATAATGAGGAATTTGAAATAAAGAATATATTTAAGAAACAAATATGTGACCATAAATATTCCAAAATAGAATATTTGTTTCAATGTAAAAGATATACATTATATTAATCAACTTGAAAATCATTTAAAAATCTAGCTAATCTACCTTTGATAGTTCAAAAATTTGAACAGATGTGTGACAAGAACGTTGAGTTTTAAAGAAAGTAGGTTTGTAACCATATTTAATTAGTTAAATCTAAAATAGATTTTTTTTGATATGAAGTTATAATTAATTTGTAGTGCACTTTTCATAATTTTAAGGATTAGCGATCCGTGTACTTGGTAAGTAAGAATTGAGTGTATTAGTTGATAACAATACGTTAGTAATCCATGTGCTTGTTAAGATTATTCGCCAAGTCATCAATCCATTAACAGTGAAATGGAATATGGATGTAAGATATTACCTCCTTTATTTCTTGGTAAGATATATATAAGAAAGAGTGAAACCATTCTAATTATCTCTTATCTTCATAGTTGTATACATCTTTGAATTAACTACTCTCTTGGTTTATATTTTATAATTGATAGAAAAACCTTGAAACCGTTGGAGTATACACAATATTAACTTTGATCAAAACAAGTAACTAAAGATGTAAAACTTCTTGACTTCTTGTAAACGTATTTTTTTTACTATGCTTTGTAACTTTGTCATGTGTATACGTGTTGTTTATAATTAGCATTAGATTAAGGTTAACTCTATTTGAGTTAATGCTAAGTAGAACCTAGGTTAGTTTCATTCCCATCGGAGATTATAGTCGCGCATACTTTAAGAACTGTCAAATTTTTGAGTTGAGACTTTGAATGTTGGAGTAACTTTCAGTACGTTGGTTATGATGTTCCGCTAGCTTCTCCATGTAATCTCCAAGATGTGGAGTGTATTTGGTTTGATTTGATATGAATCTTCATGTTTGTTCGAGTGAAGTACTCATGCAAATCCTATTGGTTTGCACGGGTACTTTCACTTGAAGAACTATAGAAGGCGAGTTGTGATACATTAAGGTACATCTACGCTCTGGTTCCCTAAATATATGTGGGTGTGGCATGTAAACAACGTAGGTTGTATGACGATAGATATTTGCACCAAAATTTTGAGATAAATTGAATCAGTCCATACACACTAGAAGAAATAATAAACATGTACGCTCATTGTTAAGATTCCAAAATTTTAACATACAGAAGTCAACTTAAAACTTATAATTCAAGAGTAATAAAGAAATTACAAAGTTGCTCAAATATCTAATATCTAAATAACACTAAAATATCATTAAAAAAATCATCAAGATCTACTTATTTAAACCATGTTACCAAGACATATAAGTGCTAAGAATACAAGGTTGGCATCTATAGTCCATGCATTC